AACTCCATTCATGGTGGAGGGATACATGGAAGCAAAATAGTCCCTACAGAAAAACGTATTCCAGATTTTCCACTATTTCCCATCATCAACATTCCATATAAACTCAGAAGACTCGTGTAGGTTCACTGGTGGTTCTGGATAGTAAATAAAATGTCTATATTTGTGTTGTAGTCATGGTGACCCCTGGTTTCTATCACCACCACTGTAAAGACATCTGAACCATTTCACACCAAACTAACTAGGACACTGCAATGAGGAGTGAAAGGGGCGGGGTGAGGAGCCCTGCACCCGCCCGTGAAAAACAATTCATACCTCTCCACAAAGACAGCCATGCTGAGATAAAACTGACAAATGCAGCTTTCCTCATATCAAACAACCCAGTGGATCTATAGCTTCCCTTCATTGTTAACAATGTTAGCATATATGGCTGAACTGTTGCTGTAATGTAACTCGCTAAGTGGCCACTAGGGGTCGACAGATATGTGATGAAAGTTGAGTCAACATCGACTAATTGCTGATGACGTCATAAATTAAACCACAGCAAAAGGGAATGCTTTGAAACAAGCATCTTTAAAAACCCGCGATGAAGCTAAACTCCACAGGTCAGTAGAGTGTGACGCGCCCTTTCCAACCAGCCCGGGATTGCATTGCGAACCTTCTGGCAACCGGAGCTACGGACCCCGGAATCTCGCAAATTTGTATCCTACTTAGGCGCACCCTAGGCGGCCTTGGAGAGCCGGAGAGATTTAGAGCACCGTAACTCGACGAAATTAAGAGTAACTGACTTCAACTCTTCGCAGGATTACAGGGCGTTTTGCTCCCTTTCCAACAACACAGGGCTTTTACTGTCTTAATGAAACAGGAGATAATGACGTTCAATATCTGATATTTGAAGCGCTGTAGATCAGCGGAGAAACGTTAGAATGAAGCCAGACTCCACAGGTCAGTACAGCGTGACCTGCCCTTTCCGATGACCCCTGGCCTGCATTGCTAGCCTTCAGGAAACCAGAGATACAAACCCCAGAATCTCCAGGCCCCTCACCTGCTGTCTGCTCTGAGGCGTCCATGTTGTTAGTGTCATAATCACGTGATCAGCGACTAGTCTGTGCGACCCCTAGTGGCCAGTCCCTTTCTACGGCCTTTTCTCATTTCTCTACTATTAAAGCATGCAATTCTTCTTTCTCTGACTCGTGGTGTGTGTGATGATGCAAAAACAAATGTTCTACAAAGGTTTTCCGTCAAACGAACAGATCCAGCTGTTCACTTCTCCCTGTTCACACTGCGGTTCCGCCTCCTCACATTTGGTCATCCTGACTCGATGATGTCTGTAAACATCTCGAACGTGTTCCCCCTCCTAACTTCAACCTCTGAGGAGCGACTCCTTTTTTCCTCTGTGATTCTAAGTATGTGTGTGTGTGTGTGTGTGTGTGTGTGTGTGTGTGTGTGTGTGAGTGTGTGTGTGTGTGTGTGTGTGTGTGTGTGTGTCCATGTTAGGGTGGCCAAGCTTTTGTGACCTTTCTCTCTGGAAGTGAAATGCAAGATGGAAACAGAATATGCATTGAATGATTTTTCTTTTTTTAATCGATCACTGTTTCCTCTCAGAATACGTCTGCCTGCATCTTCTGCTGCGTAAATTGTGTTTTCCCTCATTTCTCTGTGTGCAAAAAAATATTTGGTGAATAAAATAAAGATTTGGGGTTCTGTGAACGCCGAGTGTCAAAAGAGTGTAATTTCACTGCACCAGCCACCAGGTGGCGCCAAAAGCATTCAGACAGCTCAACCGATTCACTGGCAGCAGCTTCAAAAACAGACATAAACACTCAAAATGTATTTCAAATGAAACAGCAGAGAACATATTAGCAATTAGAGCAATAAAGAGCGCTTTGTAAACAAAACAATAGAAGCCATATCGCCCCCTACACTTCCTGTAGTGTATTACAGTCTGTCAGAATGACTGTGTGGATCATGTGAACATTATAGAGCTTTTTAAATGAAACAGTAGAAGCCATATCGCCCCCTACACTTCCTGTAGTGTATTACAGTCTGTCAGAGTGACTGTGTGGATCAACTGAACATTATAGAGCAGTTTATACCACAATACCTACAAAATGCATATTTACTGCAGTATGACCGTTTGTTGACTTACACCATCACAGTTATTAATAGTTCCTCTTATTTCTGTTTAATTATCATCACATTCATCATTATTGAGATATTTTGCTAAAATATTTAAGGCAACATGCCAACCAAAATAATAAATTCAGAAAAAAACTATCAAAACCTGAAAATCTATACTGAATATGTATCAGACATTCAGTGTTAGTATTGTTTGTTTTTGTGTTTTAATATTAACACATAAAGTATCTTATGACAATACAATAACCTTAATTGTAGACTTTGACGTTCACTTATTGTGATGTTTACTTTGCCGTATGTTGGCCGCAGCGTCCTGAAGCTGATTGTCACTCCTGATAATAATGCATGTTTTATAGCTTTACTGTTGAGAAATTATAAAAATTACGTTTACTTTATACGAGTGAGGTCTAAATGGGACTCCAGTGGTAGAATCACCCACGAGGTCACATCTGTCAGTTATGAAATATTAAGGTTCATTAGCACCGAGCCTCGTTAAAGGGTCCCTCTCAGAGGCTGATGTTGGATGTACACATTCTACATTATTAACGAGGGAGTTTCTGTAAGGTCTGCTCATCTCAGCAGCTTCAGCACTGAGTCCAGTCTGAGTTCCTCACATCTCCATGAACAACACACCACTGCCGCACACCGTCACTGCTAGCAAACAGAGAAACTCTAAATGTTTATTTCATGCTGTATGAATGTATATAGACATATCGTATGCAGAAGTTTGTGCGCCCCTGGTCAAATTTGATGTTGTTGTTGATTTTCTGGGTGTAAATACGTCCTCTACAGAGACACACTGCTGCACACTTTAATGCACTAATATTGTTTATTTACTGAACGTAACATTTCAGGGAGAAAATAATACACATCTTACATACCTTTTATGGCACATCACACACATCTTCTAAGTCGCTTATCCTTCTGGGTCGCTGGGGGAGCTGGAGCCTATCCCAGCAGTCACTGGGTGGGAGGCCTTTTATGGCACATTTTCTTATTTATTTTATGTATATATTTATTTATATTTTTTCCAACATAAAATAACTATAAAATGTGCACGAAAATGTGCAGAGAAATGTCATAAGCCTATTTGTTTTCTGTATATGTGTGTATCTATTCAAGCTGGCATGGGCGCCACAAGTTTGTGTAAAACACCTCTGATCCTCTGAAGACGAGCTTCACTGGAAGAGATAAGAGTAAAAAAACGAAATCTGATCTTTTTTACAAAGAGGTTAACATGGCCATTGCCCCAAATTTGCTTGATAGTGCTTTAAAATGTGACAAGAAAGAGCGCAGAATCTTCAGTACTTATTTTATCATCTTTCTTTGTTTTAAATTAGTTAATTTTCAGGTTAGCATAAAACAAAATACATATGTATATTCACATAGTGTGTAAATTTCATGTTGAATGGACCAAAAGAAATGGCCCAAAATGACTTGTAAAATTACTGACAACAGCAATATATATATATTATATATATATATATATATATATATATATATATATATATATATATATATATAATACCTCATATCTCCAAAATGGTAACTTTACAGGAGAAGGAAAAAACATACTTTACTTTTAATGTAAGTCAATGGAACCAGAATTTTTTCCAGGTCATTCTGGGTCGTTTCTTTTGGACGTGGAGATGGAGATGCAAGGTTTTCTTTGGACAGCGGCGATACAAATATATATATATATATATATATATATATATATATATACATATATATATATATATATATATATATATATATATATATATATATATATATTCATTTATTTATATGACTGCTGGAATAGGCTCCAGCTCCCTCGGCGACCCAGAAGGAGAGGCTTAGAATACGTGTGTGTTTCTTATATATAATATATATACAAGAAAACGGGAAAAAGTTTTAATGTGCAGGAACAGCGCCCTCTGCTGGACACAGGATAACTGAACAGTCTTTACAATTTACCAGCACTCTAATCTCTAATTCTGTACTGTAACTACAACAGCTGTATGATATACTGTAGAGTTTGTTGTGTGCTAGGGTTACACAACAGGCCTTACCCTGAGCACTATCCCCTCTACGCTATTCACCTGTGCTCACACTGAACCTTTATTTATTATTGCCTAATCATAATATTAGCCATATGCATTACATATTTATGTAAGCATCTATATGAATTCTCCTGAAGGGCCAGTGAGCTTAACTGGGAGTGTTAAAGGGCCTGTATCATGTAAAGCTACATTTCTGTTACTTTTTCAAAATAAAAGTTTGATTTGGTATGTAAACGTTAAAGTTTTCAAACGTACCCCGTCCATATATGGACACTAAACAACACAGCCTGGCCAATCAGGACAGAGCTCATTTACATATATCAGCCTGTTTAATTGTAAGGGATAAAGAGAGGTTGGAAAACAGCTGTGTAAATGTGAGTTATGACTGTTTTTGGTGCATAAAAACCTCAGAGGAGAATATAAAATGCAAGAAAAGTGCAGGATATGGGCTCTTTAAAGCAGGTGCACGGGACTGAGATGCACTGGCACTCACAAGACAGGCATATAAAACGAAATAATCTCACAAATCCATTCTTTAATTCAGTCACATTACTTTGCATTAACAATGACACAATAATTCATAATGCATGGCCACATTAATAATGAATTATAATACCTTTTTCCCCTCTTTCATAATATGGTCTGATTTAAAGCCCTTTCTGATCCTCGTTTCAATGCAGGCTTTTTCAGCTGCTTAAAACTTCTCTGAATCATGTCCGGCTCCTCTGATTGGTCAGAGCACAGGCCCACGCCTCTTTAAACCCCTGAAACAGAACAGCCACATCGTCCTGGGACTCAGTCTGACCCTTAAACCGTTAGAGTGCACTTTCCTCATATTTATAGTGTAAGGATGGACCGGTTCATGGGGACGTGGAAACTGACCTCGAGCGACAACTTTGACGAGTACATGAAGGCAGTCGGTAAGATTTACTTGGCCTTTTCACATTATATGTAGATGGATGGGCGTGTTAAAGGAACAGTCTGGAATTTTTCAACCCAGTCTGGATCTGGAGTTTAGCTTATGGTCAGCTACCACAGACTGTAGTTTCAATATGATTCCCTGAACTTGAAAAACAGCAGAAAAACTGCTGATGCTAAACTCATTTATAATAGAAGTCAATGGGCAGATGCTGAATTCTGTCAGTAAATGTTTAACATAAGTGGCTATATAAGACAAATTTGGAGTATATAACACAAATTAGACTACATAACTATATAATGTAAATGTGAAGCAGATGTCCATTGAACTCTGTTATTCAGCGTGGACGATCAAGGGGTCTTCTCCATTAAGTCCATGACCACCTTCGAGGCCGTAGAAATAAAGTTGGATGAGGAATTTGACAAGATCACTGCAAACGACCGGCAGGCAAAGGTGCAGGAATATTATAATGATCACATTATAAGAAATGTAGCAACATCCAAAGACTCAAAAACTCCTTAAGAGCTGAGCTCCCCTCTAGAACCACGGTGGAACGTCTTAGAACATCCAACATCTCTCAGCATAGAAAGTATGTGGCTGAAACTGGCTTCTTATTGGAAGCATCTGCTAAATGGTGCAGCACTTACGTTCTGGCACCTACAGGCTGAGTTCCCCTCTAGAACTGTGGTGGAACGTAGTAGGTAGTAGGTAGAACATCTAATCAGCATCTATCAGCATACAAAGTAAAAAGCTGAAATTGGCTTCTTATTGGCAGTTGTTTTGAAATCAAATATATATATATGTATCAGGGGGTCTTCTCCAAGAGGTATATATATATGTATATACATTTGAGTGTTATACAAAACCTTGTATCTCCAAAATGGTAACTTTACAGGAGAAGGAAAAAACATATGTCGCTTTTAATGTAAGTCAATGGAACCAGACTTTTTTCCGAGTCATTTTAGGTCATTTCTTTCAGTCCATTCACCATGAAATTTACATACAATGTAAACAGTAACAGGTATTTTCAAATAATGTCAAAAACTGAAAAACGTCAAAAATGGAGATTTTTTTTCTTCCAACAGCAGCGATATATATATATATATATATATATACATATACAGCGAGAGAGGGAGAGATGTCATTTTTGTATTAAATAGTCATGTACATGATTATATAACTACATAGCATGAATGCAACTATATAACTATATAACTATTGACTTCAATAATAATTGAACAGCTACACAAGGCTAAACTCTGGCCAAACTTGCTTAGATATTTCCTTCATTAAAGGAAGAGTCTAAAAATCTGCTGCGTCTGTAGCATACAGTCAATCACCACAAACAATCATTTCAACACGTTCCCCCGAACTTAGAAAAGAACGTGACTATATGTGGTGGCTGTGAAACTCCAGCTGTTCCTCTTTAATAACGCAGCTGTTCGGATAAGACAGACTGAGAGAACGTCTTATAGAACAGTTCTAATGCAGTTTTACACAATTTACACAAGCTCAGATTAGGAGATAATAGATCATAGAAATGAGTCACATTCATATATATATATATATATATATATATATATGAATATATGAATGACTATATAACATCAACTATAACTGCCTATTGACTTCCATTATAAGTGAAGAGCTACAAAAGGCTAAACTTTAGCTGAATTTGCTCAGATGTTTCCTTTATTATTGGCATAGTGTGAGATTTTCCAACCTAATCTTGATCTGCTGCATCTTTAGCAAACACTCAATCACCACAAACAATAATTTCAATATGTTTAACTGAACTTAGAAAACACACTGATGATAAACTCGATTATGGCCAGATTTTAGCCTTTTGTTGCTAATAGCTTAATGCTTCTCTTGTGACTCAGTAATCTACCGAGTGAACTGACTCACTGTGATATCACAGGTATCGGCTTTGCCTCCAGGCAAATCGCTAACATGGCCAAGCCAAGCCTTTTATTCAGCGTGGACGATCAGGGGGTCTTCTCCATGAAGTCCATGACCACCTTCAAGACCGTGGAAATAAAGTTCAAGCTGGACGAGGAATTTGACGAGATCACAGCAGACGACCGGCAGGCGAAGGTTGCTACAACACTATAATGACTGCAGTAGCAACAGCCAAAAGTTCAAAACCTCCTTAAGAGCCGAGTTCTCCTCTAGAACTGTAGTGGAACGTCTTAAACATCCAGCATCCATCAGCGTAGAAAGTATGAGGCTGAAATTGGCTTCTTATTGAAATTGTCAGGTCCACCTTAAATGGTGCAGCAGTAATATTCTGGTGCCTCAAAGCTGAGTTCCCCTCTAGAACCACAGTAGAATGTCTTAGAACATCCAGGGTCTATCAGCATGGAAAGTACATGGCTGAAATTGGCTTCTTATTGGAATTGTTTGTTCCATTGTTTGCAATGGTGCAGCACTTACATTGTGGTGCCTACAGGCCGAGTTCCCCTCTAGAACTCTGCTGGAACATCTAAGAACCTCTAGCATCTATCAGCATAAAAAGTACAAGGCTGAGATTGGCTTCTTCTTGGAATTGTCTGTTCCACCTTAAACGGTGCAGCAGTCATATTCTGGCACCTACAGGCTGTGTCCCCCTCTAGAACCATGGTGGAATGTCTTAGAACATCCAGCATCCATCAGCATAAAAAGTACAAGGCTGCGATTGGCTTCTTCTTGGAATTGTCTGTTCCACCTTAAAAGTTGCAGCAGTCATATTCTGGCAACTACAGGCTTAATTCCCCTTAAGAACCACAGTAGAACATCTTAGAACATCCAGCGTCTATCAGCATAGAAAGTACGAGACTGAAATTAGCTTCTTATTGGAATGAACCAATCCACCTTAAATGGTGAAGCACCTATGTTCTGGCACCTACAGGCTGGGTTCCTCTCTAGAACATCAGTGGAACATATTCGAACATCCAGCATCCATCATTACAGACACTACAAGGCTGAAATTGGCCTCTTATTGGAATTGTCCGGTCCACCTTAAATAGTGCAGCAGATATATTTTCTAGAGTTCCCCTCTAGAACGTAGAAGACAGTCTTAGAACATCCAGCATCCATCAGCAAAGAAAGTACGTGGCTGAAATCTGCTTCTTATTGGAATTGTCTGTTCCACCTTAAACAGTGCGGTATTTTCAGTATGGAGCTTAAACTGTGCAGCCCTTACATTCACTTACAGCCTAAGTTCCCTTCTAGAACCACAGAGGAACATCTTAGAACATCCAGCATCCATCATTACAGACACTACAAGGCTGAAATCGGCTTCTTATTGGACTTGTTGGGTCCACCTTAAAAGCTGCACCCGTTATATTCTGGTGCCTACAGGCTGAGTTCCCCTCCAGAACCTTGGTGGAACATCTCAGAACATTCGGCATCTATCCGCATAGAAAGTACAAGGCTGAACCTGACATCTTATTTGAATTGTCAGTTCCACCTTAAATAGTGCAGCAGCTACATTCAGGCACCTGTAGGCACCATAACTGCTGCACCATTTAAGGTGGAATGGAAACATCAGCTGGCAAATCAGTTTTTATAGCTTTATTCTTTAGTCTTTGAAGCGTTTTGGTCTAAAATAAAACGCTAAAGGTCCAGAGTGATCGAGCGATCAACAGAAAAGCAGAACAGGAACCGAACCAACACAACAATGAAGTTAAACCCCCCGAAAAAGGCACAAAATCTTAAAAACTAAAGTGGGAAAAGTTGATTACTTACTAATTTGAAAAGTAGTTTCATTTCAAAACACTCAGAAAAGTACAAATCCATCTAAAATTGAATAAAAAGACATTCAAAACTGTGATATTACATGTATAATGTTGTTCTTTTCAGACTGTTATGAGCCTGGTGGACGGTAAACTGGTTCAGACGCAGTCGTGGGAGGGAAAGAGCACGACACTCGAGAGGGAGATTCAGGACGGGAAACTGATAGTGGTGAGCGGGACAGATTATACATCAGATTATGGCTAATTAATTAATAACATATGTGCACTTCCCCTTAAATCAGCTAAGAGAAGCATCTCTTAGCCAAAAAGTTGCTCAATAAATATTCTATTTGGGTGGTGGATCATTCTCAGCACTGCAGTAACACTGACGTGGTGGTGGTGTGTTAGTGTGTGTTGTGCTGGTACGAGTGGATCAGACACAGCAGTGCTGCTGGAGTTTTTAAACACTGTGTCCACTCACTGTCCACTCTATTAGACACTCCTACCTTGTCAGGCCACCTTGTAGATGTAAAGTCAGAGACGATAGCTCATCTGCTGCTGCACAGTTTGTGTTGGTCATCCTCTAGTCCTTCATCAGTGGTCACAGGACGCTGCCCACAGGACGCTGTTGGCTGGATATTTTTGGTTGGTGGACTATTCTCAGTCCAGCAGCGACACTGAGGTGTTTAAAAACTCCAGCAGCACCGCTGTGTCTGATCCAATCGCACCAGCGCAACACACACTAACACACTAACAAGATGCTGTAGCACAATTCTGACATAAATATAGAATCAGTGAACAGCTACGTCTGAATATGAGCGCTGAGCCGGTTTTTAAGCGTTCCATGCTGAACCGTGTCCGTGTGCAAATACCACTGGACAGGTTCCCCTTTGCTCTGAACCGTTTGGCCCTGCAGTCGAAGATAGGCCATTGTAAGCTTCTGTGCATCAGCAAACAGCTACCTCAGTTATGTTCAGTACAGGTCTTTCATTTCCGTAACGACATAGAAACGCTCACCAGTGGTGAGAGATCACTGCGCAACGAGAAGAAGTGCAAGTGGACACGTACCGTGATGTCCAGAGGCACCGCAGGATCTGGCCCTGGTTAATATAATGTACTGTGCATGCAGCTACAGTGCAAATACAGAACTGTAAAAGGGTAAATATAAATTTAAATGTTTGGTGTTTGTATTTGTCCTCATGCAGAAGTGTGTCATGGATGACGTGGTGGCCGTGAGGACGTACGAGAGAGAAGAGTGACCCGCTGTTAAAGAACAGTGTCCCGACACACTCCGGTCAGACTGCGACAGCTCCACCGATGAACGCTTTCAAACACTAATTGTGAATTCTGTTGAAGGCAGCACTGTTGTCTGTTCTCATTGCTTTATGAACGCTACAAAAGAGAAGATGAATAAAAATCAATAAAAATGAGCTTAAACTTTGTGTGCATGTGCGTTTCATACAAAAAACAAACACATACCTCTCTGAAACTGCAACAGGAACAGGAAAAAAAGTCCTTAACTTATGTATGTTAAAGTAATAAATGTTCTTTTAACTATTTCTACTGATAGACTGATTAACTGATGATTGATTGCACCTGCAATACATCTGAATCTGTTGCTATGCCACTTTGTCGTGGTAATTATTCAAATAATCATAATAAGTTTTCATGCAATCATTAAATGACAAATTTGTCCCATAGGAATGAATGGGTTGCAAATGTTTGGGTGCCCAGCTTATGTCATGTTGATACAAGTCTACTGGCAACATCCTATTAACCATGTGGGGAACCACAGCAACATCATAGCAACCACCTGGGATACAATAGCAACCACCTAGCAACACCAGAACAACCACCTGGGATACAATAGCAACCACCTAGCAATATCTTGGCAACCACATGGGATACCATGGCAATCACCTAGCAACCAGCTAGCAACACCTTAGCAACCACCAGGGTTACTATTGCAACCACCTAGCAACACCCTAGCAACCACCTGGAATACCATGGTAACCCCTTTGCAACCATCTAAAATACCATAGTAACCATTTGGCACCAATATAGCAACCTTAAGCTGTGCAATCACTGTGTTTTCTTCAGTAAATGCACTTTTACAGTTATTATTATAATTATTATTACTATAATTGTTATTATTACTACTCTTATCAAGTGCCATGAAGTTGATTCCAGCTCCTGGTGACCATATGAGTAGTGTTTCTTCAGAATGTCCTGGGTCTTTGGGTCTTTATTGTCATGGTAAGATGGATGGACAGACAGATAAATACAAACATAAACATAAATACTAAATATTTAAAGTTGGCATTAAGGTGTAATGAATGAGTTACTCTGAGCTCTTTATTGTGGCTGCAGAGGCAGAGATTGATGTAAGTTACACAAGGATGATCATCAGTGTCAGTTTTGTAACATTAAACTATATTTAGTTACTAAAAATATTGCAGAAATACAAATGTAAAGGAAAAATAATAACTCAATAATTGTGGGGGGAGTTAGGGTCACTGGTCCCGCTCTGCAGTGGGCTAATGAGAAGAGATTTAACCTATTTATATACAGCATTACAGCTCAGCTCAGGAGAGCAAGCGCTATTACATAATAATAAGAGTTACAGTTCACACAACTCAGACATGAAGGACAGCATTAAATAGTGCTTACTGTGCAGATTACAAATATATATTAATAACAATGTATTATTATTATTATTATTATTATTATAACAACTTGTGCAATATACTTAGAACTACACTCTTTAAAAAGATGGTTCTTAAAGGGTTCTTTAGTAAAAGGAATGGTTCTATATAAAACCATTTCATGCGAAAATGGTTCTCTGCATGGTGAAATGTTTTTTTTTTTCAGATTGATGGATAATGTGGTTCTATATAGAACATTTTTTAAAAAGGTTCTATGTAGCACTTAAAAGGGTTCTTCTATTGTGACAATGTCAACCTTTTCGGTGCTATATAGAACCATATAGAACACATTCTCCATCAAACTGGACATACTCAGGAACTCAGGGTTCTAAAAAGAACCATTCTCTTTACTAAAAACCACAACCCATTCTCCAACAATCTGAAGAATCATGTCAACATGCAAAGAACCATTTAAGCATGAAATGTTTCTATGTAGGACTCACTGGTTCTATCTAGCACCAAAAAGGGTTCTGCTATTATTATTAGCTTGTATCGTAACAATAACAGAGCCTTTTTGGTCCTAGGTTCTATATAGAACAATCTACAACACATTCACCATCAATCTGAAGAATTTCAAGATGCAAAGAACCCTTTAATCATGCAAAGGGTTCTTTGAGTGTTCATGGTTCTATATAGAACCATTTTATTTAGTAAAGAACCCTTGAAGAACCACCTTTTTAAGCGTGCAATGCTTTGTTATAATGATTAATAATCATTAATAGTCATATGCTTCTCTGTGGCCCCTAGTTTTGGTTCCAGAGCCTGACTGGGTTTATTTTTCCCAGAGATCCCAACCTTCATCCCTAAAATCAGTTTTTAGACTCTTATTTTATTGCATTCATCAAGATTTGCTGAAAAAGCAAAAAGGCCTCCTCAATCAAGCGAGCATGGTCGAATGGCAAGATGTTTGTTGTCCAATAGGAACCCAAAAAAAGGTGTCATGTGACCACGTCCCATCACTCCTCCACACCTATTGAACATGTGACGGTTTAATCCTCAGCAGTTCCTTTCAGAATGGCTTGCTGAATCAAAAACCCCATAACACCCCTCTGGATTAGTGTTGGTTTGGCAGGCGGAGTGAAAGCTTTGTAAAACTTGACCCTCTAAAGAATGTATAGTCCCTCTCCCGCCGCTCTAATCTTAATTTCATGATCAGTTTTAATTACCTCCCAAATACAGAGCTTCCTGCTGTTCAAGCCACAAGAGCTGTGCAGAGCTTCAGAATCACTGGTCATGTTAATTATTTTTGCTGATATATATTCAATACAAACATAAAAATGTAGATTTAAATACTATAAACTACATACTGAAAAGCAGTTTTAGACATTTCATTTAATATTTCATCTTAGTGCACCTAAATCTGCTCACTAATTACACTAAACATTTAAAAGTCCCAGCATTTCTTCTAAAATCAAAGGTATTACAGGGGAATTCCACTGATTTCTACAGAATTCAGTTTTTGAGACATAAACACAGTGATTCAGGGTGGTTTGGTGTGAAATGGTTCAGATGTCTTTACAGTGGTGGTGATAGGAACCAGGGGTCGCCATGACTACAACACAAATATAGACATTTTATTTACTATCCAGAACCACCAGTGAACCTACACGAGTCTTCTGAATTTATATGGAATGTTGATGATGGAAAATAGTGGAAAATCTGAAATAATAAGTTTTCTTTGGGGACTATTTTGCCTCACAACACCCTGCATATTATGTATGTATATACAACCCCAATTCCAAAAAAGTTAGGACGCTGTGTAAAATGTAAATAAATGTAAATAAAAACAGAATGCAATGGTTTGCAAATCTCATAGACCCGTATTTTATTCACAATAGAACATAGAACACATATCAGATGTTGACAGTGAGACATTTTATCATTTCATGAAAAACATTAACTCATTTAGAACTTGATGACAGCATCTCAAAAGATTTGGGACAAGGCCTACAAAAGGCTGGAAAAGTAAGTGGTACTAATAAAAAAACAGCTGGAGGAGCAATTTACAACTACCTCACATGACTGAGTATAAAATAAGCATTTTAGAGAGGCGGAGTCTCTCAGAAGCAGGGATGGGCAGAGGTTCACCAATCTGCGAAAAACTGTGTCTAAAAATTGTGGAACAATTTCCGAAAAATGTTCCTCAACATAAAATTGCAAAGACTTTGGACATTACACCATCTACAGTATATGGAATGTCAAAAGATTCCGGGAATCTGGAGAAATCCCTGTACACAAGGGACAAGGCTGGTGGTCAGTATTGGATGCTCGTGATCTTCGGGCCCTCAGACGGCACTGCATTAAAACCAGGCATGATTCTGTACTGGAATTCACTGCATGGACTCAGGAACACTTCCAGAAGTCATTGTCTGTGAACACTGTTCGCCATGCAATCCACAAACGCAAGTTAAAGCTGTATCATGCAAAGAAGAAGCCATATGTCAACACAATCCAGAAACACCGCCGCCTTCTCTGGGCCAAAGCTCATTTAAAATGGACTGAGGCGAAATGGAAAACTGTTCTGTGGTCAGATGAATCAAAATTTGAAATTCTTTTTGGAAACCATGGACGCCGTGTCCTGCAGACCCGAGGAGAGTGACCGTCCAGCTTGTTATTAGCTCACAGTTCAAAAGCCTGCATCTCTGATGGTCTGGGGCTGCATTAGTGCCCATGGTGTGGGCAGCTTACACATCTGGAAAGGCTCTATCAATGCTGAACAGTACATAGAGGTTTTAGAGCAACATATGCTCCCATCCAGACAGCGTCTCCTTCAGGGAAGGCCTTGCATATTGCATACTGCATCCATCACAACAGCATGGCTTTGCAGAAGAAGAGTTCAGGGTGCTGAACTGACCTGCCTGCAGTCCAGACCTTTCACCAATAGAAAACAATTGGCGCATCATGAAATGAAAAATCCAGCAAAGAAGACCCAGAACTGAGCAGCTAGACAAGAATGGGACAACATTCCTCTCCCAAAACTTCAGCAACTGGTCTCCTCACTTCCCAGATGTTTACAGACTTTCGTTAAAGAAGAGGGGATGCTACACAACGGTAGACATGACCCTGTCCCGAACTTTTTTGAGATGCGTTACTGCCATCAAGTTCTAAATGAGTTAATATTTTTCATGAAATGGTAAAATGTCTCACTTTCAATATATGTTCTATGTTCTATCGGGAATAAAATTTGGGTCTTGGATGAAATATGAGTACAACTACTTTCTATACTTTGAGAGGTTCAATACAAGCATGACCATTCATAAATAAAACTAAACAATAACTTTTTATCAGTCGGACTGTCCACATTTCTCCACGTGAGTCAGAAATAATTCATATAAATGTAATAAAAGGCATTTAAGGCATAAACACAGTGGAGAGTTAATAATATTAATGTCTAAGGTCAATGAGTACAGAGAGAAGTGCCATATGCTTCACGTTCAGATCTCCCTAATCTGATCTGCATTGTAGAAACATCTGACTTATGCAGAGCGCAGCTTAATTTGGGTCCTTTATAGCTCTGTATGAAGAGTGGGGTTATAAAGAGTGGGGCTTTTGTCTGTGGGTGGTCCGCACAGGGAACCAAAACTAGATCCGAGATTAATGAAAAGCTCCTCAAGCTTAGCATGAAGCACTTCTACCTTCTATATGACCTGACATGAGCAAAATGCTGTGTACAGGAAATGTGGTGTTTAACCCTCTGGGGTCCACGAACTCATCCACACGTCAGATTAGATGTTTCTATATCTGTTTGTGTATCTTTGTGATGATCCAGCTCAGAAATCCAGTTCAAACACTTCCTGAATCTGTAGAGTCGCCCTTTCCATTCCATCTTATCTCGAGATCATACGAGACTCACGTCCGGAGTTATGAGCCTATGAAGAGGGGCTGAGATACACGACATCTGCCTCTCACTGTGTGGAACTGGTGGATTGGTGTGTCCGTCTACATTCTGTGTGAAACTGACCAATGGACGCTCAGGGAAATCACTAAGGACTGACCATCACGCCGGAAACCCTTCATTCTTCATTCAGTCCACATCGGAGACTCATGTGAAACGGCGTGCAGAGAGTTTACAGCTGCTGAAGCTGCTGCAGCAGTTTTGGAAAGTAGTGATGAAGATAACGGATCATTTAGATATGAAACATATGAGGATCATGATATATGAAGAGCCTTTAGAGGGGGATTTAGGAAGAGATGAACAAATCGAGAAAATGACCTAAAAATAAACAACAAAACATACATTTTAGAACAAAACTGAAAACTAAGAAACAAATCCATGAATAATTGATTATCCTGTAATTTGCAACGTATACTACTACATACAAACTTAAAAAGATGGTTCTTTAATGGCTTTTAGCAAAGAAAATGCTTCTATATAGAACCATGAACACTCAAAGAACCCCTTGCATGATTAAAGGTTCTGTACATTGTGAAAGCGTTCTTCAGATTGATGGAGAATGTGCTGTAGATGGTTCTATAAAAATAACCTTAGTTAGAAAATAGTTCTATACAGCACCAAAAAGGGTTCTTCTATTGTAACAAGCCTGACATCGTAACAATAGGAAGAACGCTTTTTTTCAAAAAGGGTCTTAATAGAACCACCTACAACACAAGAACCATTTCTCCATGCAGAGAACCTTTTAAGCATGCAAATGTGTTTATAGTTCTGTATAGGACCATTTTCTTTACTATCGAGACCCTTGAAGAACCTTTCATAGGAGTGCAATCGTTGTTTTTAGATCATTTCTGAACAATAATATGCTGAAATCATTCCTTAGTTGCTCATATTGATGATTATTGCATATGTGAAAGTGAAGGTAAGAGGAACTCGAGACTCAGACTCGCACCTCAGAGCTTACAGTGCCCTGTGTACAGGCGTAACTGTGTTCACTGTGCTATTACATAACGGCAATATATAGAATTGAATGCACTTGAGTGAGTCTTGAAGCAACAGGTTTACATAAAATACATACATAAATACATACAATAAAATGTCTATATTTGTGTTGTAGTCATGGCGACCCCTGGTTCCTATCACCACCACTGTAAAGACATCTGAACCATTTCACACCAAACCACTCTGATTACATCTCACTGAATTCTGTAGAAATTTAAAAAAAATTCTGGAGCTCCCCTTTAAGTGTGGGCTCAGTTTCCAGGCAGCTGGTGACTCACTAGAATATATTTCTCAGTCTGTGCCCATATCAGCCCTGCACTGCCACCTTGTGTGCCTGTAAGCCAGCAGCACTGTGACTAAGGCGCTGAGCTGTTCTCTGCTGTAACAGTGCAGTTTTACTAGTGAGAAAATGGTGGTGATTGACTGCACCAGTTTCCTAAACAGTCACAAAGTAGTCATCTATAATCTATAGTCATCTATAATGTCTTCAAGGGGAATTCCATCATTTTCTTTCTCCATAATTAAGTGTTTAAGATGTAAACAGAGTCGTTCAGAGCGGTTTGGTTTCTAGAGAAACTTACCGAGTCAGAACTGTTCACAGTGGTGGTGATAGGAACCAGACGTCCACCTCTAAAAGCTCCCTCACAGAAAGTTCCTACATGAAATGGTTATGAATTCACTGCCTGATGACTGAGACAGTGAATGTGTTCACATGCACTTACTTATCTGATCATAATCGGATTTCAGCAGTTTTCTGATTATTAAGTGCATGTAAACACATTCAGTGTTTTACGATGGTTTCAGGGTTGCCAAGACCAGCAAAACTCTCCAGCCCAAAGTCGCCAACCAGAAGCTGAAACTAGCCCAAATTCTTAAGCATTCAATTGCAAAAGAAACAGGCTGTAAATTTTGTATTTCGCTGCTGTCAGAACAAAACATTGTATCTCCATTTTTATCGTTTTTCAGTTATTGACATAATTTGAAAACACCTGTTGCTCTTTACATTGTGTGTAAATTTCATGATGAATAGACCAAAAGAAAGAGTCTAAAATGACTTTTCTGGTTCCATTGACTCACATTAAAAGTAAAGTAGATTTTTTCCTTCTCCTGTAAAGTCACCATTTTTGTTCTGACAGCAGCGAAATGCACTGCTGTGCAAAATCTGATGTAAATTGACAATGAGTATTTATCTGTTTACAAAAATGAACTAAACACATGATGGAATAAATACAAACATACAAATAAACAATCCACTGTGATTTTATGTGTGTCAGTGTTTTCTCATCCATTTCCAGTCCCAGTTTATCTAATCAGTCCCTCGTTAAATTAAATCAGATGGAACATAACAGACTCATCTGATGGCCGGAGTGCAGAGAGCAGTCAGGAATCAGGCCTAACCAACATATTCACAACAGGCAAAAACGCTCGTACTGCGGCGATCAATGGTTCTGAACAGTTTTCATGGCTAGCTAAAACTTTTGCACAGCACTGTATTAATTATTATAGTGAACTTATGAGAAAAAATTATCTACCTTTGGTTACTATTTTTTGTGCTGTCTCTCTCTCTCTCTCTCTCTTCCTCTCTCTCTTCCTCTCCCTCTTTCTCTCTCTTCCTCTCTCTCTCTCTCTTCCTCTCTCTCTCTCTCTTCCTCTCTCTCCCTCTCTCTCTTCCTCTCCCTCTTTCTCTCTCTTCCTCTCTCTCTCGCTTCCTCTCTCTCTCTCTTCCGCTCTCTCTCTTCCTCCCTCTTCCTCTCTCTCTCTCTCTCTCTCTCTCTCTCTCTCTCTCTCTTTCTCTCTCTCTCCTCTCTCTCTCTCTCTCTCTCTCTCTCTTCCTCTCTCTCTCTCTCTCAATTTAATGTTTTTTTTTCCATTTAAATTTAAATAGCTTTATTGGCATGAATTGCAATTAACAACAATTGCCAAAGTGATGAAAGAAATGCTTACAGCACATTATCTATTAATATTAATTACCCCCCCCCCGTCTGCTGTTCCTGTCTGTCTGTCTTTAGGTCTCTAGCTATTTAAACCAGGATCAGTTTGCACTCATTAGATGATTCATTTTCATGTTCTACTGTCTGCAGTCAGTCTTTTTGGCGGCTGCGGTAAATTTTGGAAGTAGCCCAAAAAACCACACCTTGCGCAACAACTGAATTTTCAAACGACCCAATTTGGCAGGAAAACTGTGAACCTAGCAACTCTGGATAGTTTTGAGAAGATTTTGGCTTTAAACTCCATTCAGTGTGGAGGGATACATAATATGCAGGGCGCTGTGAGGCAAAATAGTCCCCAAAGAAAACTTATTATTTCAGATTTTCCACTATTTTCCATCATCAACATTCCATATAAACTCAGAAGACTCATGTAGGTTCACTGGTGGTTTCAGAATCAGAATCACTTGATTTTGCCAGGTATGTTATACATATAAGGAATTAGTCTTGGTGAACCATTTTGCCACGCAAAGAACCCCTTTAAGCATGAACAGAACCATTCTCTTTACTAAAGAACCCCTGAAAACCATCTGTTTTGACAGTGTACTACTCAGACATGCCTAAGCACAGATATTTACACATCTCTTTAGCGTTTTACACGGTGAAGTGGTTCTTCAGATTAATGGAGAATGTATTATATTTGGTTCTATATAGCACCAAAAAGGGTTCTGCTACTGTCATGATGAATATTAGAAGAACACATTTTGGTGCTACATAGAAACATTTTCAAAAAAGGTTCTATCTCTCCTAATAGAACCATGCCTTTTATCCTTTAAGAACCTTCTGTTTTCAGAGTATGGTAAACATACACTAATAACTATCATATATGGAATATTATGGAACGACACTAACATTTGAGAAAATTAACACCTGTACAGGTGTGCAAGTAAGCATTATTGTATTTCTAATGCTCAGAAATTTTGTTTTTAATTTTTTTGACTAGTTTATACTGATGATGACATCCTGTATAAGTAAAAATAATGCGTGTCCACGCCTTATTAACGCATGGGAACGAGATCCTAATGCATGACCACGACTTAGTAAGGCGTGGGAATGAAATAATGGCCGGCCATGATTTAATAAGGTTTACTAAGTCGTGGCCACGACTTAATCATCTCGTTAACGCGCCTTACTAAGTTGTGGCCACGTATTATTTTTATTTATACAGGGTGTCACTCCATAAATTTACAAAATATTGTTCATTTTGCATATTTTTTTACATTTTTGTTTTCTCCAAAGCGAAGAGAGGCCAACAAACTCCAAACGGTTTCATCGTGTTAGCGTAAGGGTTTGCAGGGACTTTTATTTTGAATTCAGCGTTAAATCAGAGAGGAGAAGCAAACACCGCGGTTGATGGCGACTTCACCCCGAACTGAGAGCGTTTACAACAAAGAAGAGAGAAGACAGATTTTTTGGGGTTGTTTTGTTTTGTTTTGTTTGGAAGTAAAGCAGATTAAACATTAAACAATAAGAGTTTCCTCACTTCGGCGAGGCGAGCGGAACAACAGCCAGACATCCTCATAAGCTGTTATCATCTGGTAATTATGTTTTTTTTTAAATTATATTTTAAAATATTTAATTTTTCCTGCACTGTAGCTCCGGATTCTTTAGGTTAGTGTATTTATAGTATTTACAGTATTTATTAATTTCCATCAGTGCTCATAACACAGCTGTCCCTCTTTAAACGACAACAGAAAATAGCTAACTAACATTAACGTCACATTACTGAGCTCATACTAATATTAATAAACAAGGCGAACAAGGTAACTGTTTTACCTGTTTTGCTGTTAGTTGGTTATTTTCGGCTTAAGCTGCTTAAAAAAAATCAGACAAATGAACTCAGATTTGCTTTAAGGTCGACTGTATTTTGCTTAGTAATGCTAGGTTAACCTAGCTGGGGGGTTGGTTATAAAAATAAAATAGAAATAAAGTGAAAAATAAAATAACTAAGCTAACTTAGGTTTTGTTTACCCACCTGAAGGCTCCCAGTAAGCTGGTTAGCGAGGTTAGCAAGCTGGCTAGCTAACCTAACTGCCCGTCATTAGCTGACTGGCCACATAAGCAAAGATAAACAAGTCGATAATTGTCACAAATCAGCGTCGAAATGAGACAATTTGTGTCGATATGGATAAATGAGTACCTTAACTAGACGTATAAGGGATGACGATGATTTAACAGTGTCATTTTATGCATTTTTGGGCTATGTTTGGGACGCAAATGCGGACAGAGTAGAGGGTGAAGTTGGCTTCTTATTCGAACGTTCCGTTCCACCTTAAATGGTGCAGCAGTTACATTCTGGCGCCTCGGGCGCCAGAATGTAACTGCTGCACCATTTAAGGTGGAACGGAGCGTTCGAATAAGAAGCCAACATAAAGGTTAAATTTCCACCAATACGTGAAAGTTTCTTCATAATTCAGTGTTTGAGATGTAAACAGAGTCACAAAGAGTGGTTTGGCCTGAAATGGTTCACTGTAGAACAAACTTACTGACTCTGATTTTCTTTAGTGACAGCAACCAGAGGAGCAACGTCACCAACACTGGCATTTTATTTACCATCCAGAACCACCAGTGAACCTACAGGTGTCTTCTGAGTTTTATATGTGAGGTTGTTGGTGGAAAATCTGAAATAATAAGTTTTCTTTGAGGGCTACTTTGCCTGACAGCGCCCTGCAGATTACGTATCCCCCCACCAAGGCCGAAATCTTGTCAAAGCTGTCGTCTCGGTCATCAGGCAGTGAAGTCATAACAATTTAATGTAGTAAGTTCCTGTGAAGGAGCTTTTTAGAGGTGGACGTCTGGTTCCTATCACCACCACTGTGAACAGTTCGCTCTCTGTTTATGCCTCAGACACTTAAGTATGCAGGAATTGTGAAAAATTGGTGGAATTCCCCTTTAACACTTGGCTGTCAGGTTGAGCTGTAATTAGTGACCGTGGATTATAATCACTGTCCGTGCTGATAGGTGTCTGTGAATAAGGCGTGGTTGTCCAGCAAGGTGTGGAGAGCAGAGGCTGTAAACAGACTCCAGGCTTCTTCTAGGAAACGGACAGGTCTGTCGCTGTAAACAGCCCAGAGGAGCTGGAGACAGGAGGAAACATGGTAGAAATCATGTTAGCGTGTGTGATTTCAGTCCTCAGTTGCCACGTTTACGTGCAGCCTGATAATCCGTTAATAATCCGACTATTAGCTGAATAGGAATAGAATATGTCCGTGTATGCACCTCAGTCGGAATAGGTTAGTCCAGTTGAGGCCATTCAGAATGCAGTTTCTATCCAACTAATAATGTAAATAATCAGTGAAATCGAAAAATGATATCTGGGTATACGCCTGCGTCTGATGACAGGTCACACACTGCTGCTCGTCTCACTCTGACTGGACTCATGTGATGCTCGTTGTCATGGTAACTTACACACTAATGCGCGTAATTTTGGATCTGATGATTTGTTTTGTGCATGTAAACAGATTTTAATCAGATTGTAGAGTTTACATAAATGCCTCAGTCTGAATCATAATCGTAATCAAAATGAATGTAATTAGATTGGTGCAAATCTTGGCATGTAAACACAGCCAGTGTGAAGAATGGCAGCTGCTTCTAGGGCTGAGCAATTTGAGGAAAAGATCCAGTTGCGATTTTTCTGACTAATTATGCGACTACAATTTAAATTATGATTATTTTCTATACATTAAGGTTCAGGCCTGTGTTTGTGGCGAAGAAGATCAGAATATCCACCTTTTCTAGTTTGAGGCTTGACCTCTGAATGCAGTGCGCCAGACTGCCAGCAAGTGGTGGTTGTGATGTCACAACACATGAAGGTTTGGCTGCCTCTTTGGTTGTACTGGGAGGGGTTTTGCTTTTACTGGGAGGAGTTTGGGTTGTAATTGGAGGAGTCTCGGTTGCTTGTGCTGGGAGGGCTTTTGGTTGTACTGGGCAGGGTTTCTGTTGTACTCTGAGGTGTTTCAGTTGTACTGGGAGGGGTTTCAGTTGTACTGGGAGGGGTTTCAGTTGTACTGGGAGGAGTTTCTGTTGTACTGGGAGGAGTTTCAGTTGTACTGGGAGGTGTATGTGTTGTACTGGGAGGGGTTTCGTTTGTATTAAATGGAGTTTCGGTTGTACTGGGAGGTGTTTCTGTTGTACTGGGAGGGGTTTCGTTTGTATTAAATGGAGTTTCGGTTGTACTGGAAGGATTTTAAGTTGTACTGGGAAGAGTTTAGGTTGTACTGGGAGGGATTTTGGTTGGTTGTACTGGGAGGGCTTTTGGTTGTACTGTGTGGGATTTGTGTTGTACTGGGAGGTGTTTCCGTTGTACTGGGAGGATTTTTGGTTGTTGACTGTCTTGGAGAGACGGATGTGTTTACACTGCTATAGCATTGCCTCCTGAAGTGATCTGAGTGATCAGATCTTTATCTGTTTAAATGCGTTTTGGCTGCATTTACCCTTGCGTTTTTATGTGGCCTCATCCAGATATAATCCTGATGCTCAGGATGCGTGAAGTGACCAGGCGTAAATGGGGTCAAAGTTTATGCTGCAAAATGAACGCAGTTCTGTCTTACTTACAAGCTAAGCAGCTAAAACATGGCAAGTCACCGAACACTAACACTTCACCAATAAGGGCCCCGGACTGTGATCTAGAACAGTGTGTTGATTGTTATTTTAGAATTACTGCTTTGTGGAAAGTTTGACATGAGCTGTGAGACGCTAACGCTCTTAGCTTTTGTGCTAGCGGCCACAAAGGGTGGATTTTTGCTCATGTTTTGCTCTTTACGGACACATATATCAGCTTTGTTTGATTCTACATCGTTCTGCGTAAATGTAGACATTTGTCTGAGTGTTGGCGAACAGTGCGGTGTTTAGCTAATAAGATAAGCTAACTGGCAAGCAGGGTAGCTAATTAGCCAAATGAAACACTTGTTTAACATTCTTAATCGTGATGATTATAACAGTTCCAGCTGTCTTCTGTCTTACTTACAAGCTAAACAGCTCAGATGTGTCAGTTTTTACTCATTTTCTCTGTGCAGTTGTGCAGCTTTGTAGGCTGACCGGTTCAGTGGAGAGATAACAACAGTGCAGTGTTTCATTTCAGAATCAGAATCAGAATTGAGCTTTAATGGCCAGGTCTGCTTACACATACAAGGAATTTGGTTTTGGTTACAGGAGCTCACAGAGCACAGTATCAGACAGACACTTACGTGTAGTGAATAAAATAAAAATAAAATGAAATAAAATAAAACAAGCATTCCTACCATCACTCACTCACTCACTCACACACACAAACACACACACACACACACACACAGTCATACCTGTAAACCTTACAATGTCAAAGTATGAGTCTTGTATGAGTAAAATATCAGTGAAATTTCATACCAGCTAGCTAATAAGATAAGCTAACTGGCAAGCAGTGTAGCTAATTAGCCAAATTAAACACTTTAGAGGGACATAAAATGACTAAAATGACCAAAATGACCATTAAATTGTTAATTGTGATGATTATAACAGTTCCAGCTGCTTCTAGAGCGAGCAGGAAATGAGCTTAGAACTAGAACCGTAAATTCTGTTGTCTTGTTTCTGACATTACCTGTATAAGGCGAGTGCAGTGAACGGTGTGGCTTGTGTAAGTTCAGGATTATATGATAAGAACAGAAAGTGGTGCAGTAATTGACCTGGGAAGATCAGTTTCAAAAAGCTGTCTGTTTTTCTGATATCTTAGTGAAATACCTCTGAGAATTAGTACAGAGTCCTGTAGTATCAGTGCAGCGCTGTCTGTGTTACCCACCCAAGAGGAAGTTCTTTGCTGCTGTGACTGATCGCTGATTTGTCCTCTGATGTTCACTGCAGAACTCACTAAAAATAAACTAAATAAAAACAAAACTGAAACTGTTACTGCAGCCTTAAAACTAACTGAAACTAAACAGAAACTAAAACTGAAAATGAAAAACTGAATAAAAAATTATAGGGGAATTCCACTGATTTATTTTTAAACTTCTGCATAGTTAAGCGGTTGAGATGTAAACAGAGTCGTTCAGAGTGGTTTGGTGTGAAACGCTCTGTTCTAGGGAACTTTACAGAGTCAGAATTATGGTGATAGGAACCAGACGTCCACCTCTAAAAGCTCCCTCACAGAAAGTTCCTACATGAAATGGTTATGAATTCACTGCCTGATGACTGAGACACTGTTTTATGATAGTTTTGAGAAGATTTTGGCATTAAAATCGTTTTATGGTGGAGGGAATAACCAACAAATTTGTACTATAAAACCGATTTTTGGGAAGTTAACTCACTTTGGAGTTAAATATTGGAATTACTGATATTAAAGCACAGTAAAGCAATAGAACACTGGAGAGTGAGTGTTATGATGTACGTATGTGTACATATAGTCACTATTGGATCAAAACTTGTATCTCAGTTTTTTTGGTTTGAATGTTTTTCTGTTCCTTTTGTGCCTAATTTGAAATTGCCAGCTGCCATTTACATTGTGTCAAAATGTCATATTTAACGCACCAATAGAAATGGTCCAAAATGTGTGTGTGTGTGTGTATATTATATGTATATATATATATATATATATCGCTGTTGTCGGAAGAAAACCTGGGATCTCCATTTTTGACGTTTTTCAGTTTTTGACATAATTTGAAAATGCCTGTTGCTCTTTACATTGTATGTAAATTTAATGGTGAATGGACTAAAAGAAATGACCCAAAATGACTTGGAAAAACTCCGGTTCCTTTGACTTACATTATAAGTAGAGTAGGTTTTTTCCTTCTCCTGTAAAGTTACCATTTAGGAGGTTTTCTATATTATTTGTTAAAATGTTCTATTTATCTGTTAGTCAGATTTGCCTGTTTCCTTTTCCGTGTCAGAGCGTTTGTGCCGTTCGTCCTCTCCTGTTTTTGTAAATACTACACAGGAAGGCGCTGTAGTTTGTCCAGAAATGGTCTTGTTCCAGGCTGCCCTGCGTGCGACGGTGATGCAGCCATTCGGGTGAAATGCACTCATCATCTGACGCGTCTCCTCAGGTGCCCGTGTAGACAGATGGCGTGAGTGGGGGGGTATAACTGTGGGCCGCTGATTCCTGCCCTCCACACAACCTGCTCTCGGTGGGTTGAGGGAGCTGGCAGAGCGAGCCGGAAGCCCCTGGAGTTTCTGGAGGAAAACGTGTGGAGAGTGAGTCAGTTTGTGCTGGTAGAAGTCACACCAGCCTTCAGCGCTGATACTGAACATATAGGCTTGATCATTCACAGCACCTCAGTTAGGTTTTGGTCATTTGCAGCTGGGGTGGGTAACATGATGACATGCTTATTACACTAGAGGGCGCTCCTGAGTGAGAAACCAGCAGTAATGCTAACCGGTCAGCCCTCAGTAGCAGTAATGCTAACCAATCAGCACTCAGTAGCAGTAACGCTAACCAATCAGCGCTCAGTAGCAGTGACGCCAACCAATCAGCACTCAGTAGCAGTAACGCTAACCAATCAGCGCTCAGTAGCAGTAACGCTAACCAATCAGCGCTCAGTAGCAGTGATGCCAACCAATCAGCACTCAGTAGCAGTAACGCTAACCAATCAGCGCTCAGTAGCAGTAACGCTAACCAATCAGCACTCAGTAGCAGTAACGCTAACCAATCAGCTCTCAGTAGCAGTAACGCTAACCAATCAGCACTCAGTAGCAGTAATGCCAGCCATTCAGCGCTCAGTAGCAGTAACGCTAACCAATCAGCACTCAGTAGCAGTAACGCTAACCAATCAGCGCTCAGTAGCAATAACGCTAACCAATCAGCACTCAGTAGCAGTAATGCCAGCCAATCAGCGCTCATTAGCAGTAATGCTAGCCAATCAGCGTTCAGTAACAGTGTTTTATTTGATTTATCACCAAACTATCACTTTAAAAAAGCACTGAAAGTATTAATTATTATTATAATTATTATATAAAGCTTAATTGTTTATTTAAGTCGAAAGTTTGCTTTGCTAATTAGGTTAAGCTCTGAACTGCTGAACCGCTGTGTTCCTTTAAGGTCCCTGTGTTTCTGTGTGAGGACTCTAATGTAAACAGCAGCTCTAAAAACAGCACTTTCCTCCTGCAAGTATACAAAAATGCATCAAGTAGGACACTCGGCATCTGCTGGTGTCAGGCCCCTCGTGTGGCCGGACATGTGACTTTGTTTTGTGGACACTGCTGGGCCACGACGAGGAGAAGCAACTCTTCAGACTCAGTGCGCTAACACGGTCCGCACACACTTTAGGCCTTGTGTGCTCAGGTGGTTCACTGGGCCACGGCTAAACAGGCTGAAACGGGGACTGAAAAGCGGTTTTTGAGCAGGATTTGGGAATTCTGTGACCGCTCCGGCTCTGGTATGCGTCTGGCAGATAACATTTTAGCCTCATGAGGAAAGTAAATGCTAATCAGAGCTGCCTTGGGCCGTCACGGTTATTCGATTACACTCAGTTCTGAGCCTGACGGACGCACACATTCGCCATTTTTTAACACACAGTGGCTTTAAAGATCATCTCGCGCTTTGATTTGTTATTTTTAATTCTTTTTTTTGTTTGTTTGTTTTTTTATTTCTCAGTTATCCGTCAAAACAGTGAACAGATTTTAGCATTTTAGCGTTAGCCGTCGAGAGCCCTGATTCATTTACTGTCAGTCCTAATTAAGATGTGTTGAAGTGACGTTTCTCTCTTTCTGGTGTTTTTTAGGAGCTACACCATGCTGGCTGTCTGCAGGTCTACAGGCTAAACTCACGCTATCGTCAGTATAGCGCTGGGGGGCGCTGAGAGATGGGGAACACCGCGACCAAGTTCCGCAAAGCGCTGATCAACGGAGACGAGGTTCTAGCGTACCAGCTGTACGAGGGAAACCCGCAGTTTAAAGAGTCTCTGGACCCCAACACCTCGTACGGGGAGCCTTACCAGCACAACACCCCGCTACACTACGCCGCTCGACATGCCATGACTCGCATTCTCAGGTAAAACACACTGGGTTGCCAGATTGCTTCTACAGTTTCCAACAAAAAAGTTCAATACTCACCTTTTAACCAACATAGATCAATAATAAGCTTTTTATCTTATGTTAACTGCTGATATCTTGCCTTGAAGAATTTGCAAAAAATTGCAAGCATTCAAGTTGCCACTAGATGGTGCTGTTTTACGTAACTTTTAGCGTCTCTGCCAAACATCTAAAAAAAATGCCTAACAATGAAACTGAAATAATGAAAAAAAAAAAATTCGACAATTTGATTTGTTCGTGCTTCTTATTTCCATAACTTGCAGCAGTAATGGCGGTAATATTCATAGTACTTGATAGCGTTGTTAAGAAGACCACGTCGCCGTGCTGGTAGGAAAGCTGTACCGTAAGAGTGCAGTATTCCGTACAGTACTTCGGCACTTTCCGCGTTTCAGTGGTTGTTGCAGAAATACCCAAAGTCATATAGGATGTAATGATTGGTTGGACTCTGCAAAATCTGCCTAGCAGCCAAAATGCATTTTGATTGGTCACATTTGGGCCAATACTTTTAAAGGAATAAGAAAACAACTTTCATAAAAAAAAGTTTCAAGTTTTATGAAATCTAATTGCAGAAAAAGTGAATTAATATAAAACAATATATGTGAAATGAATGAGGCGACCATGGAAAAAAGGCCTAGTAAAGAAAGTGAGACTGTGGTGTGAAGCTGCTGAGGTCACTTAGCCGACGGCGTAAACTTAGATTAACAGCTCAGTATTAAACATCCGGTGTTTTATGATGATGATCAGTTGTTTTAATATTCGTTGGGGTGTTTAGATCTGCTATAATGCATTTTAACTGGCCGTGAAAGTTTCCCCACCCCATTCACATTCGCATCCCTGTGATTCCCCACCCGCCGTTTTTGGGTCGCGCTGGGTGACGGTCACTATTTACACAGGTTTGATGTCCAAACTCAGCTTAGATGATCTTGCCAACCGTTTTGATGGAAACAAGGATATTTGACAATGTCTCAGATGTTTCACTGATAAATGACAAAGTGGTTTTACACAAACAGGAAAAGTTGCAAGTGTGCGGAACACTGAAGTGTGCGGAACACTGAAGTGTGCGGAACACTGAAGTGTGCGGAACACTGAAGTGTGCGGAACACCGTACTCTTACGTTAACTCTGGCCTCTTTCCACTATCGAGCCAGATGGTTCTCAGGGCTGTGCTGGGCCGTTCCTCGCTGATCTGGACTCGTGAGATGGGTTACGGTTCCTTTTTCCATCTGTTGTATCGCTAAATCAGGACCAGGAAATACTGAAGAAAACTACACGAACGAGTGGCTAACTGCTAACAGGCTAATAGCGACACTCCATGCACCACAAAACACGTTTGGTTCCGTCTGTCACTCCAGCTCTGGTCTCTCTCTCGGCTGCTCTCAGATTCTTTATCCTCTAAACGGGGGTTATTTCAGCATCTGTAACGGAAAGCCTGGACTGCGGTGGGTTTCACCTGTAGCCGGATAACTAGCTACATTAACATCAGCGTCGCCCAGCAGGATAAAGCTCAAAGCACCACAGACTAGTGCTGGGCGATATGGCCTCAAATCAATATCACATTTAATTGAACTTTTTACCTCGATTACGATTAATGAACGATTATTTTGTTTTCGTTTTTCTTTGTTTGTTTGTGTTTTTGCTTGAGATTTCTAAAGAAATGTCCGAACGAGGCTGCAGCGTCAAAGAACAGTTAGAAGTCTGAACGCAAAGTTTAAAGAATCCGAGGACGCGAACCAAAGAAGTGACCGCGCCCTTTTTACGGCTCGAATACATTCTGGGTGATGAGCCCAGCTGTCAGTCAGTGAAGCTTCATGATGGCTCCTGTGATGCTGGTGAAGATGAAGCTGATCCTCCGGGAGCGACTGGCGTTCGTTGGCGGTCGTGATTGTTTACCTCTGGATGAGCCGTGAAGCAGCGTGACGCTCTGTTCTTTAGAGCATGCAGCTCAGTTTAGGAGCTGATCTGTTCAGACTGATGATACAGATCACATTTAAGATCTGAACAGACAAACAAAAAAATCAGATTTGGTGAAAAAATCAGATTTGGGCCACTTTTACATGCTGTGTGAACGTAGCCTTAGCTCCCATGTCGCAGAGTGGACGTGGTGGAGTCACGTGATGCACGCACGGTAGTAAGTTTTTAAGGGGACAGTACATGAACACACAGAGTCGGAAAAGGAACAGAATATAAAAAAAAAATCTAAAAAACCAACGTTGTCAAGATTACGTCGGTTAGAGGTTCTGAATGTTGGTTTCGATTACTTTTCGATCGATCACCCAGCCCAACCACAGACCACATTTTATTTTTTTACATTTCTGTCTTTCGAATTTGTGCTCTCAGATATGAGTCTTTATCCTGTAAACGAGTGTTTGTAATTATAATTTCGCTAGAACTGTGTCTGTACCGCTGTGGGAGGCACCATACACTCACGTTAGCTTAGCCTAGCAAGCTGCAGCTTAAAACAGTACAGAACAGGTTAATTTTCAGCTTTGTCCCTCCACCGCCAATCAACCGTCTTTACTCTCGCTGTTATACGTTTTTTAACATCTATACTTGTGATAGCAGAGCAGCAGTTAGTCGAATCGAACCTGCACTGGGGTGCTTGGATCTCTTTAGCATTAGCTAAGTTAAGTTAGCTAGGAGAGATGAGCCAGCTAGCATTAGCTTAGCTAGGAGGCTCCAGCTTCAGACATCAGAGAAAAGGCTTAATTTCGGCTTTCGGTCCCTTTAACGTCAGCCACTCGACTTCGCTTCCTCAGATTTGAGTCATTGTCAGCTAAATTTGTGTCACTAAAGCTTTTGTTAATCCGAACTGTGCTGTGGTGAGTAGAGATGGCAGCGTGCTAGCTAAGTTAACGCTCATCAGCTACTCTCTCCTGGTTAGTAGCACCGTTTAACATTGAGAAATTGGTGTTGGATTTAAGCTTTGATGTTTATTGAATGGTGGATTTGAAATTGACCGTGGTCTGATTTTGGTGTTTGCAAGAACAGAACTGAATAATTTTGGTTCTGCTCAGAGCAAACTTTACTTTTAAGTTCTGTTTTAAGCCCCTCATTATTCTGTTCCCCCGTCCCTCACAGGTCCTTCCTCTTCAGCAAGGATGGAAACCCCAACAAGCGGAACGTGCACAACGAGACGGCGCTGCACTTGCTGTGCATGGGGCCGCACATTCTGCTGCCAGAGGGGGCGCTGCAGCCTCGCCTGGCCCGGCCGTACGAGGACGAGCGCCGCCGGGCCGACTGCCTGCAGATGATCCTGAAGTGGACCGGCGCCAAGCTGGACCGCGGCGAGTACGAGAGCGCCGACGTCAACGCCACAGACAACAAGAAGAACACGCCGCTGCACTACGCCGCCGCCTCAGGGATGAAGACCTGCGTGGAGGTGGGAACGTGGTTTAAAGTTAGACTCCGGAATTTTTCATCTGAAGATCCATCTGCTGCGTCTGTACTGCACAACACGCTTCCCTGAACTTAGAAAAGAAGAGAAAACCCAATGACTCTACACTTGAAACTATAATAGAAGTCAATGGGCAGGTCCTGAGTTCTGTGCATAAACGATTGAAACGTTTGAAGTTCAAATTTTCGCTTTCTCCGAGGTTTTCTCTTGTCCATGGCGATCAGCAGGCGGAGTCTGTGAAAACTCCTATTAGACAAACACTGAAAATTCATGAAAGCATTCTACAGAGATATGTCTTGACTGGAATTCAGCACCTGCCCACTGACTTCTAAATATGTAGGGCTGCAAAAAAAATCCAAATAATTTGACAGCCGATTATTCACGTGAGTTAATGAGCTAATAATCGATGAATCTGCTTAAATGTAGCCTTTAAATGTGAAGTGGTGCAACAGTAAAATGTCTGAAGATGTTCTGACATACTGAAGTTCTGTTCGCCGCTAAATTACCAACACAGAAAAAACATGGTGCTTTGTTTAAGCCCATAATTTAGAGCCACAGTAAGTACCAAACAAGCTAAAAATAAGTGATAAAATAAAAAAAGTGTCAAACGTAAAAGTAGTTAGCCAGATAAATATACACACATACTCCCCAAATTCATTAGCTTTCCAAACTTCCCAAATTTTATATACATATCGCTGTTGTCAGAAGAAATCCTTGTATCTCCAAAATGGTAACTTTACAGGAGAAAGAAAACACCTGCTTTACTAATTAAGTCAATTGAACCAGACTTTTTTTCCAAGTCATTTTGGGCCGTTTCTTTTTGTCCATTCGTCATGAAATTGGCACACAATGTAAAGGACAACAGGCATTTTCAGATTATGTCAAAAACTGAAAATCGACAAAAATGAAGACAGCAGCGATATACACAAACTCCCCAAATTCATTAACTTTCCAAATTTCCCCTATCCTGAAACTTCCCAAATTCGCCAATAACATACATAAGATACAAAAGATATAAATAAGATTCATATACAAACTTTCCGAACTCCCAAACTTCCCCAATTTCCCCAATCCTCAAACTTCCCAAATTCACTGGTTCCCAAACTTACCAAACTTCTGCACTTCCCAAATTTGTGAGTTTTCCTAAACCTTCCCAATTCCTAAACTTCCCCAATTCCCAGCCTTCTTTTCTGGGGAGGGGTATGTCATAATTGTTGTTTTCTGTGCAGCTTCTGGTGACACGTAACGCAGACCTGTTTGCGGAGAACGAGAATAAGGAGACTCCGTGTGACTGTGCGGAGAAACAGCACCATAAGGAACTGGCCCTCAGTCTGGAATCTCAGATGGTTTTCTCCACAGATCCCAATGCTGAGGACATCGAGGCTGAGTATGCTGCCCTGGACCGCAGAGAGGTGAGCTTTATGAACTAACGTCTGATTAAACTGAGTCTGTTCTACAGTTTCTCATTAGGCTGAATGAATAACTGACTCTAAATGTAGGTATTGTGATATAAACTCAGTCTGTTCTACAGTTTCTCATTAGGCTGAATGAATAACTGACTGTAAATGTAGGTATTGTGATATAAACTGAGTCTGTTCTACAGTTTCTCATTAGGCTGAGTGAATAACCGACTCTAAATGTAGGTATTGTGATATAAACTGAGTCTGTTCTACAGTTTCTCATTAGGCTGAATGAATAACCGACTCTAAATGTAGGTATTGTGATATAAACTGAGTCTGTTCTACAGTTTCTCATTAGGCTGAATGAATAACCGACTCTAAATGTAGGTATTGTGATATAAACTGAGTCTGTTCTGCAGTTTCTCATTAGGCTGAGTGAATAACCGACTCTAAATGTAGGTATTGTGATATAAACTGAGTCTGTTCTGCAGTTTCTCATTAGGCTGAATGAATAACCGACTCTAAATGTAGGTATTGTGATATAAACTGAGTCTGTTCTACAGTTTCTCATTAGGCTGAATGAATAACCGACTCTAAATGTAGGTATTGTGATATAAACTGAGTCTGTTCTACAGTTTCTCATTAGGCTGAATGAATAACCAACTCTAAATTTAGGTATTGTGATATAAACTCAGTCAGTTCTACAGTTTGTCATTAGTTTAACTGGAATTCTGTAAAGCTTGTCTGTACGTGTCCTGTTTCAGTTTTACGAGGGTTTGCGGGTGCAGGACCTGCGGAGGCTGAAGGATATGCTGATAGTGGAGACGGCTGACATGCTTCAGGCTCCTCTCTTCACCGCGGAGGCTCTGCTCAGGGCTCACGGTATGTGCGGCATGCACTTCGCTGAGCTGTTATTAACTAATGTAGCTCATCAAACCAGCTGATCATGGCTGTCCTGACCAAATAGAGGACCAGCCCCACGGTCAGAGTTTAAACATTGTCCGGTCCATAATAAAACATTGATTTTATTTTCTTTAAGAGTTCAACACCTTAGGCAGTGCTCTCTCTTTCGAGAATGAGAATAAATTGTACAGCAGGGGAGGAAAGAAGAAAAATAACAAATTTAACTTACCTAACAAACAAAAGAAAAGCAATTACAATTTCTAACCTAACTGCCTAACTCAGGGGTCGGCAACATGCCGCTCCGAAGCCACATGCGGCTCTTTTACTGTCCTGTTTCGGCTCCACAGCAGAATCTGATTTGTAGGTAAAAATAAAATAATCCTCCTTTACAGTAAAATAAAGCTCTGCTGATCGTTCAACACAGTTTAACAATAAATGGTCTTAAACTCTGGAGTTAATGTAGAACTGCTAGTTCACCCTTTAACCCTGAAGATCAGCACAGACTGCTGGTCACCATAGCAACAGAGACAGCAATCTCACCTAGCTAGTATCTAACGAAACGGCAAACAGAGAGATTTAAGACGAACATCGATAATTTGGAGATAATAATTTGCGTTTAGAATCACTCCAGCTGGTATCCTGATACGTTTAATCTGCAACGAGAAACTGACAAACACTAAAACTTTGCGAGGCTGACGTCAGCTTCTCGTTCTAATTTTCCAGTTCCACCTTAAATGGTGCCTGCTGAAGTCGGCAAATTAGAAGCGACTTCAGCTTTGTGAAAAATCGGAACATTGAGAAATATTTTATAAGAATCTGTTCTACTTTTGGAAAAGTTTCCTGCTGGAGATGTGAGAAAAGCGGCTGTAGCTGAGCTAAGTCTGCGTTTTCGTTTATTATATTTTTTAGCCTTTACTAGGACATCAGCACGTACTGAGACAGATTTACAGCCAAGATGGTAAAATGGACATAAAATTTTGTGGCTCTCAAGGTGGTTTGATAGTTTCTGAAAGGACAAAATGGCTCTTCTTAACATTTGGGCTGTGACCCCTGACCTAACTAAAGCAAACCAGGAGAAAACAGAGGCAAACAAAAATAACCCTCTCTGCCCAAAAAGAGAGATTATATACAGGAGCTCTGTCTCTGAGCAGCCACATTAGCTTAGTGTTTACAGTAAACTTCGATGAAAGTGCTACAACACAGGCTTTATATCTCTGAAAATCTCAACGACAAACAGCAAAGCACCAATAGGCCATACATCAGCATTCACGCTCTCACACAGACACAGCTTCTTTCAAATGACTGGTCAGGGAACTGGGAACGCAACGGAAGCCACGCTAGAAGCAAAGCACCGTACTTCCTCCTGGACGTCTCGTTTTTATAGGCGACTCCCCCTGGTGGTGGCTTAGGGCATCTTCCCTCTGTTCTGTAATCAATACAGAAGACACATTACACAAAAAAATGTTATGACCCTTATGGTCGCAACAGTGGCCATAGAGACACAGCCACACCCCTAGTTAGGGCTGGGCCTTTAATTAAAGAAGAAATCCCGACAACACTTTTCTGTAGGGTGCTGTTTATAAGGCTACATAACACCTACATAAGCTTGTCATGACAACTGACATAACCCTACATAAGTGCTTATAAATGCTTATTTTAAAAGGCGTCATCTGTCATAAAGACTACTTTTTACAAATTTTGATCAAAACTGGCAAATGTAACCTTTCTAGCAAATGATGCCTGATGCAATAAGCACTAATAAACATTTTTCTAGGGTTATGTCAGTTGTCGTGACAAGCTTATGTAGGTGTTATAAAGCTAGCACCCTACAGTAAATTGTTACCCAAATCCCAAATAAGAGAACATTGGTGAATGACAGAGTCTTCGTAAAAACTGCGCAAGTGGGTTTTAAGAAGAAATTTCTTCTTAAGAACGGTTGGTGATTGAGGCCCAGTGACCTTAACGCAAGCTATTTAGCTTCACCTAGCTAACTTAGGTTATTAGTTATTAGATCATTGGTTATTAGAGTCCAGTACACCACTAATGACCCTCAGCAGCTCTCAGACGAATGTGTAACGGATTCCATCTCATGCATTTTTGCTGGAACACTGTTAAAATTTTGGAGCTGTTAAGCTGTTAAAGTTTCTTTGGCACAAGACTCGTAATGGGATCAGTGCTTTCTTTAATTCTCTCCAATTATGTGAGCCGGCCCTGTTCCAGATGAGTGGGGCCCATGAGGAAAATAGGGCAGAGTACCGCTTCACCATGCTTTCTATTATTATGACTCTGGCCTCTCTGGAGACGGAGAGCAGTTAAACAGTGCAGTTTCACTTCCAGTCTGAATTCTCGCCCATCAGACTGGGCACATGCTAAACGACTAAACGGCTAGTTTTGTTTCTTTTTCTAAGGATAGACATTCAACAGCAACAACAATTCCATTCATGTGTTAATTTCCACTCATATATCCTTTCATACATCTTATAACACAAACCTCTCCTGCTTTTTTTTATTCTTTGAAAGTTCCTTGAATTGAGCATTCCCAAAATATATGCCAGTGGCCAGCGCCCTGTTCCCCACACATCCTCCAACATCCTCGATTTTCTGTAGGTTTCTGCTTTGGAGTAATAAAAAAATCGAGTAACACATTCTCAATCAGAGTAAACGGCTTGTTTAATTAAGATTTCGAGTTAAGGAAGTGATTTTTAATGTGGTCTGGGGTTCCATTTTGCACTGTGGTGTTGTAGAGAGCCTTTAATTAGCAGTTACGGAGCTGCAGGATCAGAGTCTGTTATTCTTGCAGAACAGTCATGTTGATTTTGGCCATTCAGAGTGGTTTGGTGTGAAATAGTTCGTTGTAAAGACTCTTCTCAAAATCTTCTCAAAACTATCATAAAACAGCGTCTCAGTCATCAGGCAGTGAATTCGTAACCGTTTCCTCTAATAGGTTTCTGTGAGGGAGCTTTTAGAGGTGGACTTCTGGTTCCTATAGACTCTGAACGACTCTGTTTACATCTCAACCATTTAATTATGCAGAAAATTTGGAAAAAAAAGTTGGAGTTTCCCTTTAAGTATGTTTATTGTGTCTGAAATGAGAACAGAGCCCATGTTTATGTTTATATGACGGCGTAGTCAGGCCTAACCCGTCATTTTGAAGAGGAAGATACAGAGAGTTGTTGTGTGAAGCTGGACTTTGAGCTTCTGTTGTTGAAAATCGCGAGTCAAGCAGAACTTCTATGGTTGAGGCTCTTGTACAATAAGAGGTTACTCATTATTGATTATGACATGTTTGACCCACTTTAGGCCTTTTTTTAAGCTTGTGAGAGTTTTTTTCTGAACCTCTGTGCAAATTTGAATGTGCTTCTGCTTCAGGGTCCTGTGAGCGAACATCTGGAAGGAATAGTTTTGGGCTTGGGGGAGGTTTGGGTTTCCTCTGGATTCAGACCAGGACTTTATCTGAACTTAATCTCTCCACTGATAACATCACAAGGCTGAGGCGAGACTAATTACACGTTGACCTTTTGTCCTCTGATGTCACTCACTTCATTTAAGAATGATAGACAAGCACAATTTATGCATTAGACTTCATTTAAGGTAAATTAAATACATCTTCGTCTGGTGTTGTCGGCCTGTTCAGGCCAGGACTATATTTTCGGTCCTGGGCGATGTTTCGATATCTTACTATAATCGAGATCAGTTCTTTCATGATACTCTTTTCATGGTATATGATGGGTGTGGACAGCACTTAGAGAATAGTATGGTCATGATGCAATGTAGTGGATTGGGATTGGATGTCCCGATCCCCTACAGTAGATCGGAATTCGGGGTCAGATGTCATGTCACGATCTGGCATAGTGGATAGGGATTGGATATCATGTTACAATACAATACAGTGGATAGGGATTGGATATCATGTTACAATACAATACAGCAGATAGGGATTGGATTCATGTTGCAGTCAAATACAGTGGTTAGGAATTGGATATCATAATACGATCTGATACAGTGGATAGGAATTAGATGTCGTACTATGATCCGATACAGCAGATAGGGATCGGATTCACGTTAAAATCTGATACAGTGGGTAGGATTCATGTTACAGTCCGATACAGTGAATTAGATTCATGTTATGATCCGACACAGTGGAACGGATTCATGTCACAGTCCGATACAGTGGAACGGATTCATGTTAAAGTCCAATACAGCGGATAGGATTCATGTTATGATCCGATACAGCGGATAGGGATTGGATGTCATGTTACAGTCCAATACAGTGTATAGGGATGGGATTTCAAGTTATGATCCGGTACAGTGGATAGGGATTGGATGTCATATTAACATCCAACACAGCGAATAGGGATTGGATATCATGTCACATGTAAAATAAATATAATCAACACAGGCATTAAACTGTACAGTAAACTACACAAACAGTAAGTACAGAACAATAAGCAGGAAAACAGAGTGCAGTTCTGAACAACACTGACCGGCTGTATTGTTTAACGGTGTAAACCGTAAACTTGTATAGAGAACAGTACACTCATCCCGTTCTCCCTCTTCCACTCAGACTGGGACAGAGAGAAGCTTCTGGAAGCGTGGATGTCCAATGCTGAGGACTGCTGTCAGCGATCCGGTGTTCTGATGCCCACTCCACCACCCCGAGGCTATAACGCCTGGGATACACTCCCATCGCCCCGAACCCCACGCACCACCCGCTCTTCCATCACCTCTCCTGACGAGATCAGCCTCTCCCCGGCCGACGATGATCACTCCCTGGTGAGGAGACAGAGACACTATTTGGTTTACAGAATTCCAGAGAGATAATTTCGTTTTCGCAATACCAGAAAGAGGATTATTGTTTATGGAATTCAAGATACAGAATTTGTTTAACGTATTTCCGAAGAGAGGAACGGTTTATGCAATTTCAGAGAGAGAATTTTTGTATATGGAATATCGAAGGTAGATTTTTGTTTACAGAATTCCTCAGAGGATTTTGGTAAAGATGCTGCAGAGAGGGGATTTAGTTTACTTAATTCCAAAGATGTTAATTGGTTTATGGAGATCCAAAGTTATTATTTGGCTTTACGCATTTCCAAAGTTAGATTCTGGTTTAGGGAATCTCAGAGAGAGGATTTGGTTTATGGACTTTCAGAGGGAGGATTGGATTTACAGAATTCCACAAAGAGGTTTTTTGGTTTATAGAATTCCTGAGAGTTCAGATAAATTCTGTTATAAACATGTTATCAACTCCCAAATTGGTGTACACACAGAAGAGTTCTTCACGCTTTTCCCGTCCACACAAAAACACTGAAAACAGTTTTCAAAAATCTGCCCCAGGTAGACCTGTTTCAAAAACCTCCAATTTCAGCGACTGTAAATGCAGTTCTTGTTTTGACAGGAGGCCAAAACACAGCACAGATAATCCTAAATTTTCCAAAATATCCGGATTTGTGTGGGTGGGGCCTCAGAGATAAGCTCCTCATTAGCTCTAGATGTAATCTATGGGCCATTTTACCCAAAATCTGCTGAGGGTCAGTCTCTCAAGAGAACTCTCAAGAAGTTCAGTTAGCACTTCATGGCTCTGGACTGTCGAGCCGTTCAGAAAGTCCTCAGTCAGCTGCAGCACAGTCAGTCCTTTCAGATATCAGTGTAGACATTGTGCTCAGACAAAGCGTTCTGTTCCCCTCAGATTCGACAGTAAAACCACAGTCTGCACCACAGAGCAGCTCTTTACTACGGCACGCAGTGGACACAGTATGAGCTCACCATATCCTCGTTTCAGAGTTACTGCTGAGAAGTCTGTATATTGTCCCTCACAGTTGTTCTAAAATGTTAAATATGGTCATTATAAAATCTACTGTGATGCTCTTCTGAGTATGATGTGTATAATATATAAGAACATCTATAACACTGAACAGCTGGATCGTAATGAAGTCAGATTTAGACCAGTTATAGAGCTGTAAACAACTATGGGATGGCAGCCCATCATGACGTCATCTTATTTTATTCATTTATTTTTACCAGTAGTTAGGATTTTTTTCCTGTTTCATCTTTAATAGCTATTTTTTTTTGCAAAAGTGTAACTGAATAAATCACTGTGCTGATAGTTTTTCAGCTTTTTTTAGTGTAGTTCTGCTATTTTTCTTCCAACCTGTTCACAAACCTCAGAAAAGCTAAATGTGGTGATGGTGATATTGAGTCTTGTGAAAATGTCTTAAAGTTTTGGTTTTTTATGGAGTTACATTTTTGTTTTGTGGAGTTCTGGAGACTGTTTTTGTTTATGGAATTGCATAAATAGGATTTTTGTTAATGGAATTTCAGAAAGAGCATTTGGTTTACGGAATTCCAGAGGTAACATTTTTTTTTTTATTCATGGATTACCAGAGATAAGGTTTGGCTTATGGAATTCTGTACATAGAATGTTGTTTATGGAATACTGTGCATGGGATTTTGTCTGTGGAATTGTAGAGATAGAAGTTTCATTTATGAAATTACAGAGATAAGATTTTTGTTCACGGAATTTCAGAAAGAGGATTTGGTGTATGGAATTCCATATATAGGATTTGGTTTACAGAATTCCAAAGATAAGATTTTTATTTATGGATTTCCAGAAATAAGATTTGGTTTATGGAATTCTGTATATAGGATGCTATTTATGGAATACTGTATAAAGGATTTGGTCTATGGAATTATTTGTTTGTGGAATTCTGGAGATAGGATTTTTGTTTACAGAATTCCCTAGGTAGGGTTTTGTTCATGGAATTTCAGAAATAAGATTTTTGTTTATGGAATTCCATATATATGATTTGGTTTACAGAATTCCAAAGATAAAATTTTTATTTATGGATTTCCAGAAATAAGATTTGATGTATGGAATTCTGTACATAGGATGTTATTTATGGAATACTGTATAAAGGATTTGGTCTATAAAATTATTTGTTTGTGGAATTCTGGATTTTTGTTTACTGAATTGCATAGATAGGGTTTTATTCATGGAATTCCAGAGATAAGATTTTTGTTTACAGAATTTCAGAAAGAGGATTTGGTTTGTGGAATTCCAGAGATATAATTTGGTTTATAGAATTCCTAAAAGAGGATTTAGTTGACTTAATTTCAGAGATAGGATTTGGTTTACTGAATTTGCGACATACGATTCCCTTAACTCTTATTTTGGCTTCCTCAGCTGAGCTGAAATTGGGTTAAGCTCCGTCTGATGAATGATTGCAAAGTAAAGCGAAAAGCTTCTGTGAAAAATCCCGACTTGTTTGTTTTGTTTTCTCTCTTAGTGCGGAATCTGTATGTGCACCGCCTCCATGTTTGAAGAGCCTGTTGATATTCCATGTGGACACGTTTTCTGCCGGGCATGCTGGGAAAGGTAAGAGTTACTCCCTACCACAACCCCAACATCAAATATTTTCAGAAAGTTTTCTTGACCACTTGAAACATGTATTGGCCCTTTATGTCACCACATGTGGACTTTTAAAATAAAGATAATAATCATAATTAACATCATCTTCCACCAGGCACCAGTAGTTTCGTAGCAGTGGGCTTTTTGTGACATAACCATTAGATTATTCCAGTGATTTCTAAGAACTGGAACTATTTCACACAGAATGTAGACGGACACACGAATCCACCAGTTCCACACGGTGAGAGGCAGATGACGTGTATCTCAGCCCCTCTTCATAGGCTCATAACTCCGGATGTGAGTCTCGTATGATCTCATGATAAGATGGAATGGAAAGGGCGACTCTACAGATTCAGGAAGTGTTTGAACTGGATTTCTGAGCTGGATCATCACAAAGATACAGAAACAGATATTGACACAGAGAATCTGACGCTCAGGCGAGTTCGTGGACCCCAGAGGATTAAAGCAAAGCTGGCTTTGGGTTTTAATTTGACAAAAGTATTGTTCAGGAGTCGGTATCAAACTCCATGTATCTGTATCGGTATTGAAAATTCTGATTAATACTCAGTCCGAGTCATGCATGTTCTGTCCTGCAGCTTTCTGAACCTGAAGATCCAGGAAGGTGAAGCCCATAACATTTTCTGCCCAGCCTACGACTGCTTCCAGCTGGTTCCTGTGGAGGTCATAGAGAGTGTGGTGTCCAGAGAGATGGACAAGCGCTACCTGCAGTTTGACATTAAGGTATTAACTTCATTATTGACCACACTGGTATCTGTTATTACTGTGCAATTTGTCTTCTTGTGCTAACCATAGGGTGGAAGACTTAAGACTAAAGTCTGACTCACATCTAAACATGATGTCATTTTTCGTCACAGACTGTGATTTTGCAGGCTGGGGATACTGCAGGGTCACTATCTGCCACTATAAACACTCAGAGAACCCTTTGTATGACGAAAGGGTTTTTGCATCGTAAAAAGGTTCTTCAGATTGATGGAGAATGTGCTGTTTATGGTTATATTTTTTTAAAAGGGTTCTATATAGCACCAAAAGGGTTCTACTATTGGTACAAGCTTGACATCGTAACAGTAGCAGAACCCTTTTGCGTGCTATATAGCATCCTTTTCTAATGCAACCCCATTTCCAAAAAAGTTGGGACACTGTGCAAAATGTAAATAAAAACCAAATTTAATAATGTGCCAATGATTTAAACAAAGACATCAAATCAAATGTTGAAACTGAGAATTTTTATTGTTTTTTGAAAAATATATGCTCATTGTGCATTGTTTCTTTGGGTGTTTATGGTTCTAAATAGAACCGGTTTCTTTACTAAAGAACCTTGAAGAACAATCATTTTAATTTGAGTATAGTTTGGACTAAAATTTCAGGCCTGATTGAAACTTGAAGAGGTTTTACTAATTTCATATATAGCTGCTAATTGGTTGCCCCTCAGAGAAACTCCAGTCACATTATTGAACTTCTTCTCAAAGCAGCTTCATTGCGCAGAGTGAAATCAGGACAGCATGGCAGATTAGATCTGAGCTATAATGGGGAAATGACTGTAACAGTGACGGCCTCTAAATGACTCACTGCAAAACCCCATAACCATTATGTAGTCATTACAGTAGTATAGTCATTATGTTGCCATAACGACTCTAAATCTTCTGCTGGGATGCATCAGTCATGTTCTGTAATACTGCTCAGGGTCAGAGGTCGCTTCCCCACACAGTCACAGTCTCGTGCTGTTGGTGAAAATTAACCCAAATCCTTCTTGCATAGTAACACATTTCAGCTTGTGATAACAGACCAGCTCTGCTGTTTGTGTCCAGTGTTTATTTGTGTGACTGCATATACAGTTTGAACTGGTTAGACATTGAGGTGCTTTCAAAACAGTACTTTTATTCATTTTTCCAAAACAGCCGATGGCCGATGCGCTTAATTAATAGAGTAGTCTAAAAACAGATAAACAACACATTCTGTCTCTAACTAAACACATCAGAGTTACTTTTAACACAAAATGTGCAAAATAAGAAAACCATACGACACAAAAAGTGTTAAAACAGGTGACTCAAGTGTTATTTAACATCACTATTTAGATTGTGAGTGAATTAATCGATCAGTCAATTAATCAAGTAATCAATTAACCTTTTTAAAAAACCGAGTACATTGTGGGTGACCCTCGTTTGCAGTTTAGCGGCACATTATGCAAAAAAGGACAGCGTGAAAAGAGTAAATGTACATTTATGATAGTAAAAGTACAGAAAATAAATTATCAACAAAAAATGAGTATTAAAACAGTACATAAAATGAAAAATTAGAAAATGTTAAGACAGATGAGAAAAACCAGAACAGTCAATTAAAACTGTTAAGCACATTGGTAATAAAAATAAATAAAAAATAGTAATAAAAGTAAGTAAATAGAACTACTGAGTTGGGTGAGAGCAAGAGGAAGTCAAACAGTATGAAAACAACAATAATTATAATGATAAAATGATAATAAAAATAAAAATAAATAATATAAATGACAGTAAAAAGTAATAAATCAACCAAGAAATCAACTGTAATAACAATATAAAATACAACAGTGAGCGCTAACTCTAGAGCTAACCGGTGCAGTGGTAGGCGGTGAGACTTGTGGGCTTCTTCACCAGGTTTTTCCTCCTCTGTGGTTGATGTTTCAATTAGTTTAAGAACGCTGAGAACAGAGAAGTATCCTTTTATTATTTTTGGTTCTAGCTAGCACAAGCTAGATTAGTTAGCCTAGCTGTGCTGACTCTGACTGTGTGTGTGTGTACATACATGTGTGTGTGTGTGTGTGTGTGTGTGTGTATGTGTATGTGTATGTATGTGTATGTGTATGTATGTATGTATGTATGTATATATATATATATATATATATATATATATATATATATATATATATATATGCATGAATAAACACAATGTGTCTGTATATTAAATATTTTAGAATAACTTTTAGATCTCTCTCTTTGTCTGTCTCTCTCTCTCTCTCTCTCTCTCTCTCTCTATCTCTCTATCTCTCTCTCTCTCAGGCGTTTGTGGAGAATAACCCGGTGATCCGGTGGTGCCCGCGGGCAGGCTGTGACCGGGCAGTGCGGTTGGCAGGGCAGGGACCAGGTGCCAGCGCCTCGGACCCCCTCAGCTTCCCTCTGCTGCAGGCCCCCGCCGTGGACTGTGGGAAGGGTCATCTCTTCTGCTGGTCAGTGATGGTCACCAACACATACATTCCCCTCTCCCCACCCCCCGTCTCATTCCCCGAGAGAATCGGCGATGTACCAGTTGAAATTCTTTCAGTGTGAAAATGATGAAAGTCCCTCGATGATCTTATTCAGATTTCCCATTTCATCTTAAATTATGCTGCAGTTGCATTCTTGCAATTCAGACATTCTGCCTTTAAATGGTGTACCACCTTAAGTGGTACATCAGTTACATTCCACCTTAAATGGTGCAGAAGCTACTTTCTGGCACCTGGACCATTTGGCTGCACGATTTAAGGCGTAAAACCTTTTAAACTTTAGCCTTGTAGAAGTGCCAGAATGTAACTGCTGTAAAATTTTAAGGTGGAACGCCTGACCTGACAAAATATAATTCCTGCACCGTTTAAGGTGGAAAGCCTTAAGTGCCATAATGTAACAGCTGGACCTTAAAAGTGGTGCAGCAGTTACGTTCTGGCATTTCAGGCATTCCACCTTAAATGGTACATCAGTTACATTCTGGCACTTCAGGCGTTCCACCTTAAATGGTACAGCAGTTACATTCTGGCACTTCAGGCGTTCCACCTTAAATGGTAAAGCAGTTACATTCTGGTGCCAGAATGCTGCACCATTTAAGGTGGAACAGCTTTTTAACCTTAGCCTTGTAGAAATTTGGATATGAAAAAACGTTCAGTGCCGTTTTTGCTGGGCCAAGAGAAGCCGAGTTAGAAAGCAGTGTTGACAGATTTATCTATTTACACATCGTTCAGTTCTGTTTTTATTATTTGCACAATAATAACAGCAGCTCATTTTCACTTCAGATGAAAAGTGTAAATAAAATAAAACACAAGAAAACGTAGATCATGAGCTCTTTAAAGCTCCCAGCTCGTGATCACCTCCGTATATCAGAGTGGTATGAGGCAGAAGCATGTATGTGCCGTCTGTGTGGTTTCTGGCGTGTTAAAGGACTGAGCGTGCCCTCCCTGCAGGTCTGGGCATTCTGCCCCCACTACTCCAGGTCTGTATGATGTACTGATTGTGCCAGGCCTCCTCATTACCCGTACCTCAGCGCCTTCACTCCTCTCTCGGTTTTCTCGCTGCATATGCTGTGTGAGTTTATTCACTACTCACAGCTCTGAGCGAAAGACTGTAGAAGGAATATAACAGTTTCTGCAAGTCCAACTAAAAGCACACCATTAAAGTAACCAGTCATTTTTACTGTGCTGCAATAATAATAACAACAACAATAATAATAATAATAATAATAATAATAAGGCAGTGTCTGTTTACACTAAGTGAAAATAGCTTTAGCCACACAGCCTGGCAATTTGCACTAACTCCTGGTAAATCAAGTGACAATCGCCTGAAGTGTTCCATCTTAAATGGTGCAGCAGATACATTCTGTCACATCAGGCATTCCACCTTAAACGGTGCAGCAGTTAAATGGCTCCTCGGGTGCTGAACCGGACTGCTGCACCATTTGGCTGCACTATTTAAGGTGGAACGACTTTTAAACTTGAGCCTTGTAGTGGCAGAATGTACCTGCTGCACCATTTAAGGTGGAACGCCTGACCTGACAAAAAGTATTTGCTGCACCATTTAAGGTAGAGCACCTGACATGAGAGAATGTAACTGCTGCATAATTTAAGGTGGAATGCCTTAGGCGCCGTAATGTAAAAGCTGCACCATTTAAGGTGGAACGCCTGAAGTGCCAGAATGTAACCGCTGCACTTTTTAAGGTGGAATGGCTTAAGTGCCAGAATGTAACTGCTGCACCATTTAAGGTGGAACACCTGACATGAGAGAATATAACTGCTGCATAATTTAAGGTGGAACGCCTTAGGCGCCATAATGTAACTGCTACCAACAGCTTTGTGCCTCAAACTGTGTGGACAGTCAAACCGCAACATCGTATGACACTTTGTTATCTATAAACATGGACCAAAATACAGGCTCAATTCAGCCTTTAACACGACTGCTACTGTTTTCCGCTGCTCTAACATACTTATCAAGTTTCTCCACATAAACAAGTCTATTCGAGATTCCTGAACACAGATTGAGGAGAGTATGTGGTGATTTAGGCCGTGCTAATTGGTGGGGTGTTTGCTTTTATTACTTGTGAGCTACATTAGCCTCGTGGCTCCGGTGATAAAAGCAAAGCAAACTTCAGACACCAAACACATCTCGGCTGGTCGAGCTCATCTGGCATGAAGGAGAAAAGTGTGGAAATTAGATTTTTTTGCTGAACTGTCTCTCACGTTACGGTGTTTTTATTCTGTGTGACGTTACAGGGAGTGTCAGGGCGAGGCTCACGAACCCTGCGACTGCCAGACGTGGAAGATGTGGCTGCAGAAAGTCACCGACATGAAGCCAGAAGAACGTAAGCATGACTTTATCACACACACATTCACAGATAGGGCTGCACTGGGTAAATGAAGTGAAACCAGGAGCGGAATTTTGGATCACAGATCGGAGCGCTCAGGCATTCAGAAAGGAAAGAAAACTTATTGAATAGAATTATTGAAATCGAATAAACCCGTATTTAAGCAGTAGAACCCGAGAGGGAGTGTGTTATCGTGAAATAACATCACGGCTGTGATTTGGTCGCCGTAGATCATCACAGCCGTGATGTTATTGCCGATAACACACTCCTCGAGTGTTCTACTGCTTTAATACAACAGTTAAATAAATAAAGTAATAAATTAATAAACTGGGCCGTGAACGCGGCGTTTAATATGTTTTAATGTTCGCAGTTCCTTCACCAAATTATAGTTCCTTAACGAGCAGCTTGTTGCTACGTCAGAGTAACGAGCTCCGCCCACTCGCTGCACAGCCGGCAGTTCGTTCTCCAGCTCCTTACACTAAATTCCCAAACTGTCATCACCACTGAGCAGCTTTTCAGTCGGCAGCTGAGACAGAAGAACAGCTGAACAACCTGGAATCAGCCAGAAATGAATCCAACACCATTCGCCAAACTAAATGGGCTGTAAGATGCTTTACAGACTGGCTGGAACAAAACAACACTAATACTGATCCAGCAAAAACTGACAAAACTGAGCTGAACTTGATATTGCGGCAGTTTTACGGCTCAGTCTGATTTGGTCGGACTCTGAAGATCAGACTACACGTTTGGCGAATGGTGTTGGGTTCATTTCTGGCTGATTCCAGGTTGCTTAGCTGTTCTTCTGTCACAGCCGCCGACTGAAAAGCTGCTCAGTGGTGATGACAGTTTGGGAATTTAGTGTCGTCTCATCTTCAGAGTCTGACCAAATCGGCTGTCGGTCAAATGTGATCTTAAAAGTGTCCATTTTCTGTTTGTGGCAAAGTAAGAAGTAAAAACGTTCAAATGTCTTGAGCGTCTCCTACAGCTGTCAGAGTCGTTGCTCAGCAACAGCGTCTCAGCGGAGTGATAGTGTTTGTGAAAAACCCGTGATGTTATGGCGAAATAGTGACAGTGTATCGTCACATTGCCCATCTGTGTCACTGACCGTGTGACTGAGTTTGACCTTGTGCCCCGAAGTAAACGGCTGAGACCAGCTGATGTTTATTTGTTGTTTTGCTCCTCAGTGGCAGGTGTAAGTGAGGCGTATGAAGACGCTGCCAACTGCCTGTGGCTACTCTCAAACTCCAAACCCTGCGCCAACTGCAAGTCCCCCATTCAGAAGAACGAGGGCTGCAACCACATGCAGTGTGCCAAGGTGTCTCTCTCTCACTCTCTCTCTCACTCTCTCTCTCTCTCGCTCTCTCTCTTGGTCTCTCTCTCACTCTCACTCACTCTCTCACTCTCTCTCTCTCTCTCTCTCTCTCTCTCTCTCTCTCTCTCTCTCTCTCTCTAGGCAGAGAAGCTATGTTGGTTCACATTTTAAAGGGTGCATATATTTGAAAAACAAAATTCCTTCGCTTTCTGTTTAATGAGAGTTTGACAGAATGTAAATGGTCCAAAATAGAAGCTAAATAGAAACTAAACTGCCTATTTTGAATTCATTGTTTTTGTGGTGTAATGAAAACCAACACATGTACATGTATCCATCTATTCTGCCTACAGCAGTTTAGCCCCTCCCATTCAGCCTACAGCAGTTTAGCCCCTCCCATTCAGCCTACAGCAGTTTAGCCCCACCCATTCGGCCTATAGCAGTTTAGCCCTGCCCATTCAGCCTACGGGTTTTTAGCCCCTGCCCATTCAGCCTACGGCTTTTTAGCCCCGCCCATTCGGCCTACAGCAGTTTTAGCCCCGGCCATTCGGCCTGCAGCAGTTTTAGCCCCGCCCATTCAGCCTACAGCAGTTTGCCCCCGCCTATTCGGCCTACAGCAGTTTAGCCCCGCCCATTCAGCCTATAGCAGTTTAGCCCCACCTATTCAACCTATGGCAGTTTAGCCTCACGAGAGTTGGGCTCTACATGTAGAGGTGGTGGTTAGCTTTTGCTTGGTGGTTAGCTTTCTCTTTTGCAACCTTAAAATTATAATAAAATGATTTATTGCGAATAACACATACAAAGACCACATACAGGTTCATACTCAAACCAGTACATTGCAGTGAAATACAAAACACTTTGTGGGTCGTGTTTGAGTCTAATCATATTTATATTGATGCAAATATATTTATATATTTAGGTTTAAATGTGTTTATTTTTTGTCTTTCTCTTCGTGTTCGATGGTGCACATATTTGTTTGTGTCTGCAGTGCAAGTATGATTTTTGCTGGATTTGTCTGGAGGAGTGGAAGAAGCACAGCTCATCTACAGGAGGTTATTACCGCTGCACTCGGTACGAGGTCATCCAGCAGGTGGAGGAGCAGTCTAAGGAGATGACTGTGGAGGTATGGTTTCATTCAGGACTGAGTCCTTCTACAGAATCTCTGTTTCATCTCTGTGTACATAAATTCTTAATACGTTAAGTTACCTTTTTTGCGTTTATAATAATTTTTTTGCCTTTATTTAAACTGCCAGGCTGAGAAGAAGCACAAGAGCTACCAGGAACTTGATCGATTTATGCACTACTACACACGCTTCAAGAACCATGAGCACAGCTACGAGGTACGTTACACCTTTAACACTTTCACCCCCACTGTGACTGTAAGTATTAAAGCATTTTTCATCCTGGGGCCGTATTACAGAAACATCTTAACTCTGATCTCTGATCTGTTTAGTCTCCATGACGACTGAATTCAGGACAGTATCTATTCCAGAATAACAGTTCCTACCTTCATAATCTCATCATGAACTCCAGATAAGAAAACAGCATCACACAAACATCCTAACTAGACTGAACCTCCTAAATCCTGTCCTAACTTTAGGATGAACCCCAACAGGGTCCTCACTTCTGTTTAAGGTCCGTTTCTATGGTTTTTAGGCAGCTGAGTCAGCAGCATAGTTCACTACCAGCATAATGAGCTCCATTTATTTCTACTGTAAAACGCTGCTTTCACTGTGAGATGATTTTCTTTTCTAACTCTGCGTTTTAAAGATCTCAGACGCTGCAGACTCGATCTCCACCGCCCCTCTGATCACCTTCGTGTGTTAATGTTTGATGATGAAATATTACAGTGATGGTGGTGAATAATGAGGAGACGGAGCTGAACGTGTGTCTGTTTATTAGGAGGAGTAACGTTAGCGCGCTCGGCTAAAGCCTTTGGGAAATGGAGACTGAAACTGGGGAGCGGCGACGCTCTGATGAACAGCAGGGGGCGCTTTCACAGCATTCATTACTTACAGTTTAGCACACTTTAGCTTAGTGTGACCTTCTTTACATCAGTAACAGCAGCTGTAACTTACTAGGTGAGTCCCAATTCAGGGCTGCATCCTTTAAAGGACGTGGTCTATGAAGGCATGTCCTTCGAAGGCTGCGCAGAACCGAGGAGGCTCAACTGAAATGAGACGGTCTGCTTTATGGCGGATTTCCTGTTTGCATCACAGCACCGCTGTTCCCGTCTTTCCTGCTGCATCACAAAATGCCACTCCTGTCAAGTTCTTTTAAAGTTCTTTAAAGACGGAGCCAAAAACTTTGATTTTAGTTCTTTAATTTTTTCATTTATTAGAGCTGGAGATCCCCTGCAGTCTTATAAAGACTCTCTGTCGGCTCTTTGCTCCATTAAACAAAACGAAAAGTTAGCGTAAGTTTTGCTTCAGACCAAATTGGCTTTTTTAACATCTGTATCGTTCGCTATTCAACTCAGTTTAAACCCAATACTTACATTTAAAGTGTCTCCTCAGCCGCCATTGGCTCCTCTGCTGACGTCGCCATTTTGTCGAATCCTCACTGACACACAATTAACCTCAGGATATGTTGGCTGGTGAAGGATCCACCTGTTGGATCCTTCATTGCTGTGGAAAAGAAGGACACATTTCTTAGCCGCATATGAAGGAGCCTTCGAAATGGGACAGTCTAGTCGCGCTGATGTGACACAGTCAGCCTTCAAACGCAGCCCCTGAACTGGGACACGACAGTTGATTTGATCGAGTAGGTTAAGATTTCCTAACTGGAGAAAAGATGCTATAAGATAAGATAAAACTCCTAAATTAAGATTTGATTCTGTAATATAAATTAGTGAAAACTCTTACTGCCCGGTCAGATCTTAAGATTTTGTAATACGGCCCCTGATGAAAAAACATTTGGAGCGTTCCTTAAACCTAACTTTCTGTTCTTACTGTCTCATCTAGCTGGAAGACCGTCTCCTTAAAACAGCCAAAGACAAGATGGAGCAGCTGAGCAAAGTGCTGAGCGGAAGTGAGAGAGCATTTCTGAACTTTCTGATCACGTCAGCAGTAATTTCTGACACGTATTGATGAGATGCACCTTTTTGTTCTGTCTCTTTTAGGAGAAGGAGGTCCTCCGGACACTACGTTCATTGAAGATGCCGTGCATGAACTTCTAAAGACTCGCCGTATCCTCAAGTGCTCTTATCCCTACGGTTTCTTTCTGGAGCCCAAAAGCACAAAGAAAGAAATCTTTGAACTTATGCAGGTTGGTAAAGTCTGTAGAGCTGCAGCGATACACACCTTTTGATCCAAATTTTTTTGTGCCTCAGATAAAGGTACTCCAGCAGAACTCTTTCATCTCGTGCCCTCTCACAAAATAAACCCCAAAAATGCCACCGCTGGAATTTATAAACTCTTAAGAAAGATGCTCAGTCATTTGAGCATGGGTGTGTCCATAGTATAGGCCCTGCCCCTCCCTGCCTGCTTTACTGTGATAGGCTGCACCCAGGTGCCTAGCTTAGGAACCCATATTGAAGTCATATCGCCCCCTACACTTCCTGTAGTGTATTACAGTCTGTCAGAGTGACTGTGTGGATCATATGAACATTATAGAGGCTTTTTAAATGAAACAGTAGAAGCCATATCGCCCCCTACGCTTCCTGTAGTGTATTACAGTCTGTCAGAGTGACTGTGTGGATCATATGAACATTATAGAGCTTTTTAAATGAAACAGTAGAAGCCATATCGCCCCCTACACTTCCTGTAGTGTACTACAGTCTGTCAGAGTGACTGTGTGGATCATATGAACATTATAGAGCTTTTTAAATGAAACAGTAGAAGCCATATCGCCCCCTACACTTCCTGTAGTGTACTACAGTCTGTCAGAGTGACTGTGTGGATCATAGAGTGATTACAGAATGATTTGAGTGTTTGTGAATAAATAAATGGTTCCTGTTCTTGCAGACTGACCTGGAGATGGTGACGGAGGATCTCGCCCAGAAAGTGAACAGGCCTTACCTCCGCACCCCCCGCCATAGGATCATCCGGGCCGCCTGCCTGGTGCAGCAGAAGAGGCAGGAATTCCTGGCCTCCGTGGCCCGAGGGGTGGCACCCAACGATTCACCAGAGGCCCCTCGACGCAGGTAAAACGATGACTCAGGCTGATCTGCTCTGCATTGTATATGCAAAAGAGGTGTGTAGAATGAAGCGCAACTATCAGCACATCAAGCGGAGCACTGATTTCTCTGTTTTACTTGTTATTAATTATAGCACTGATGGCATTTATAGTGATTTTCATGATTGTAACTCAAGTATTAAAATTTACAAAAGTGTGATCACAAACATGTAAAAAACATGGGAATACATGGACGAGAATGCATGATCAGATGTGGGAAAAGCATGTGATCACGTGTGGAAGTACAGATGGGCCTTTGTTTAATTTAAAAGTTAAAGTAGTTTAATGTTGTTTTAGTGTATTATGGTCCTTTTCTTCATAACAAACATAAAAATTGTTAGTAGTGATGATGTCTCATCATTCTGGCACCTCAGACATCAGAACTGTTGTACCATTTAATGTGGAAAGGGGAAATTTTAAGAAGAAGCTGGCTTCAGCTTCGTATCACTGAAGAATTAGGGTGGGTGATAATAAATAACTGCCCCCCTCTTTGAAGGCATATGATCCCTAAATGTAACTAAAGCCCAGCAGTGAGGAGCTGAACTTTACCCTCCTCTGCTGTCACTGCAGACTGGCAGGGTCGCCTACAGAGCAGCGCTGGTAGCTGTTAATGAAGTGATGCTCTTTTTATTTGAGGGTCCCATTTCAGAGGGAAGACTTCAACCACTACCCTGTGACTCAGTTCTAAGGGGCAACATTCGAAAACAAGGGGTAGGAGTAAAATAAGAAATGGGACTGGGCCTATATGTGGGTTTCAGTATAATGTACCGTACATTTTTTGCTTTTATTAGATCTTGAGTTATTAAGATGGAAATGAATCTTTACTTGTGTGTGTTTACAGCTTTGCTGGGGGGACGTGGGACTGGGAGTACTTGGGCTTCGCGTCTCCAGAGGTACTTTTCTACTGTTGGCTCTTTAAGCTGTTCAAGATGCTGTAATTACACATTGAAGCGTAATATGCTTAAAGGGAAATTACTCTGCTAAGCCTCATACTTGTGCCCCGCCCACAAATGTGGTCTTTCATTGCTTTCATAGCTGCTGCGAACAGAATCAGTTTATATCACAACACCTACATTTGGAGTGAGTAATTCAATTCTAATGATGTTTATTTGTTGTGGGTGAAAGGGTTCACTGTTAGGACAGATCAGGTGGAGGTTTTTTGTTGTATAATTGGGCTAACGTTAACCTAGTTAACCAAAGATTAGGCTACTTCATTGTCGTTTTCAACTATTTCGCTACAGCAACATGGTTCAGTTTGGTAGCGTGGAATTTTAAACTGGAAACTCAACAACTCTAAACAAATTTCATTCTAAATGTAGGTATTGTGATATAAACTGAGTCTCTTCTACAGTTTCTCATTAGGCTGAATGAATAACCGACTCTAAATGTAGGTATTGTGATATAAACTGAGTCTGTTCTAGAGTTTCTCATTAGGCTGAATGAATAACTGACTCTAAATGTAGGTATTGTGATATAAACTGAGTCTGTTCTAGAGTTTCTCATTAGGCTGAATGAATAACCGACTCTAAATGTAGGTATTGTGATATAAACTGAGTCTGTTCTACAGTTTCTCATTAGGCTGAATGAATAACTGACTCTAAATGTAGGTATTGTGATATAAACTGAGTCTGTTCTACAGTTTCTCATTAGGCTGAATGAATAACTGACTCTAAATGTAGGTATTGTGATATAAACTGAGTCTGTTCTACAGTTTCTCATTAGACTGAATGAATAACTGACTCTAAATGTAGGTATTGTGATATAAACTGAGTCTGTTCTACAGTTTCTCATTAGGCTGAATGAATAACTGACTCTAAATGTAGGTATTGTGATATAAACTGAGTCTGTTCTACAGTTTCTCATTAGGCTGAATGAATAACTGACTCTAAATGTAGGTATTGTGATATAAACTGAGTCTGTTCTCAGTTTCTCTCTTTAATGGGATTTTTACCATCATTCTGTAAAGCTTGTCCAACCTCACAACAGTAGCTGTGAATGAACGTGTTTGTGGGCGGAGCCTGTATAAGAAAACGTAATGAAATTGACAGATGGTGCGTTAAGAACTACAGCATGTGTGAAATTTGAGGTGTTCAGCTGAATGGTACTGCACTGCGATTCTGTTCTAATCTAAAGATGCAGGGGAATCAGGCACTTCTCGGAGGAATTGATCCGAGAGTCTACATTCAGAATGCAGGAGGCCAGCGGCAGGTATTACTGAAGCCTCCGTGTTCTTCCATCTGGCAGTACGATGGCAGTACGAGCAGACTGGCACCTGTCATTTGCGCTCCATTGCTTTTTTATTGTTCATTTCTTATTTGACAGCATGCTTTTATTCTTTTGTGTACTCTGCGGTTGACGTACACCGATCAGTCATAACATTATGACCACCTCCTTGTTTCTACACTCATTGTCCATTTTATCAGCTCCACTTACTATATAGGTGCACTTTGTAGTTCTGCAGTTACAGACTGTAGTCCATCTGTTTCTCTGATACTTTGTTAGCCCCCTTTTACCCTGTTCTTCAGTGGTCAGGACCCCCATGGACCCTCACAGAGCAGGTACTATTTGGGTGGTGGATCATTCTCAGCACTGCAGTAACACTGACGTGGTGGTGGTGTGTTAGTGTGTGTTGTGCTGGTCTGAGTGGATCAGACACAGCAGTGCTGCTGGAGTTTTTAAACGCTGTGTCCACTCACTGTCCACTCTATTAGACACTCCTACCTTGTCAGTCCACCTTGTAGATGTAAAGTCAGAGACGATAGCTCATCTGCTGCTGCACAGTTTGTGTTGGTCATCCTCTAGTCCTTCATCAGTGGTCACAGGACGCTGCCCACAGGACGCTGTTGGCTGGATATTTTTGGTTGGTGGACTATTCTCAGTCCAGCAGCGACACTGAGGTGTTTAAAAACTCCAGCAGCACTGCTGTGTCTGATCCACTCAGACCAGCACAGCACACACTAACACACCACCACCACGTCAGTGTTACTGCAGTGCTGAGAATGACCCACCACCCAAATAGTACCTGCTCTGTGAGGGTCCATGGGGGTCCTGACCACTGAAGAACAGGGTAAAAGGGGGCTAACAAAGTATCAGAGAAACAGATGGACTACAGTCTGTAACTGTAGAACTACAAAGTGCACCTATATAGTAAGTGGAGCTGATAAAATGGACAATGAGCGTAGAAACAAGGAGGTGGTCAGAATGTTATGCCTGATCATTATATATCAGAAAGACTGCATGCTGTAGAGCAGGGATAATCAATTAGCTAGTTTTTGTGGCCCCAACTCCATATTTTCAGTTATTTTACACTCATGTTGAGTCTGTATGAGCACGTGTGTATTATATTCTAGCATATATAATAAATGAAGAAGTCATTTTTCCCCTCAAAACAGCATATATTGTGCAAAAGGCATTAAAGAGGCTACATTAGCTCTGCAGCAATAGCGTAATGTAATGATAGAAACTGATTTACTGCATATCAGCCATGAGCTTTTTTGAATGATGGCATTATATTAATATTTTCCTGTTTATTTTTCACTGAAATGCAATTTATCAGCATCAGTTTTCCTCTTAAGGCGTTTAACAGCATTTTACTAGGCTGTTTTGCTAACACTTTGCTAGCTCAAGGTTTCTTTACAGTGGTGGTGATAGGAACCAGGGGTCGCCATGACTACAACACAAATATAGACATTTTATTTACTATCCAGAACCACCAGTGAACCTACACGAGTCTTCTGAGTCTATATGGAATGTTGATGATGGAAAATAGTGGAAAATCTGAAATAATAAGTTTTCTTTGGGGACTATTTTGCCTCACAGCGCCCTGCATGTATCCCTCCACCATGAATGGAGTTTAAAAGTATGTTTCAGTAGAAAATCTTCTGAAAACTATCACAAAACATCTCAGACATCAGGCAGTGAGTTTTGACATTTATGGTCCTAGCTCTAACAGTCACGGTTCTTCACCGCTTTTTGTCATATCGCTCCGCCTTACGCTGAAGTTGAGTCGTCAGGTTCCTCTGCAGATCTTTTTGCGAGGCTACTCTTCTGCAGGGTCGGGGGCAGTTTTCTGTTACTGGACTTCCAATGTGTTTCTGCAGTGGATTTAGTGTGTGCTGTGTTTTCCTGTGTTGCAGGAGTATGCAGAGTTCCAATACCGCCGCAGACACAGGCAGCGTCGCCGTGGAGACATGACCAGTCTGAGGAGCAACACACCGGACTCTGATGACCACAACCCTGGCACTTTAGGTATGGCAGCAGGAATGGACAAAGTACAATACTTCTGTGCTTGAGTAAAAGTGCTTTACTCAAGTACTGGAATCTTGCGAAAATACTACAAGAGCCGAAATATTAGTATTTAGGAAAAATACTTACTGAGTAAAAGTATTAGTATGTGGTAACAAACTACATGAGTAAGTATTGGTACATGGTAACATACTCCATGAATAAAAGTATTACTACTTGGTAACACTACATGAGTAAAAGTATTGGTACTTTTTAAAATAATACTTGAGTAAAAGGACTAGATGTCATTGCGCATCCCTACTGAAAAGGTAAATAAATATCATTAAAATCTGTGCTTTTGGCCCCAGATCTAAAAAGTAAAATAGGAAAGGTTTTCTAGCTGTATGTAAGAATAATAGTAATGAAAAGATGATTATCCATTTTTTGTCTTTTCCCCCTCTTCTCACAGATTCAGAACAAATCGGTTGCAGTCAGAGACCAGGCCTGCCTATGGTAGGTTTTGCCTCGTATCTCATCGCTGTTGGATCTCTAAAGTGGCAACTTTACAGGAGAAGGAAAAAAACAGTCTCAGTTTGAATGGAAGTTAATGGAACAGGATTCCTTTCAAAGTCATTTTGGTTCATTTCTTATGGTCCATTTATAATGAAAGTAAAGGGCATCTGGTGTTTTTCAGATTATGTGAAAAAAAGAGGACTTAAGTGGAGACACTGCACTTTCTAAACAGATTGGTTCCTAAGAACAGCACAGCTTTTCCCTATACTTGTATTATTCCACTGACCACCTCAGTTGCTAAGTAACAACAGTAGTCACTTTACTCTAAACTGGTGGAAGTACTTTATTTGGCTGAGGAAAATGCCAGTGTTAAAACCTTATATCTAAAACAGTGTTGAGGGCTTTTTCTTTACTTTGTAAAACTGTTGTACAAAAGTATAACTGGAGGTCAGTAAAACCACGATCTCCTGCGACCGAATCACAGCCATTAATTAATTGTTTTCTTCATTTTATGAATTATATGACAGCTAGAGTAACTTCCTTTGTTTTGTTTGTCCTGCAGCCTCACAGCTCTCTGGATGAAGATGACCCCAACATCCTGCTGGCCATCCAGCTCTCCCTGCAGGAGTCCGGCCTGGCCGCTGGTGCTGGAGGAGGCATGGTGGAGACTCAGGAGCTTCTGGCCCACGAGGCGTCCATGGGAGCAATCGGGACATCCCTGCCCTCCAGGCTGGACCCGCTCCTGCATGGGGTTGATGTTCCACGTGCTGCCCTGAGCAGCTCCGAGCTGCTGGAGGTCGGAGACAGCCTGAAAAAGCTGGGCAACATGAGCGGCCAGAACGTTCCACAGCGCTTCAACAATCTAGGCAATCCCAATCCCGTCGGAGGCCCATTCCCACCTCTGCCTGGACAAATGGAGACCGCCGACATGGATCCTGCTGACAACGCCAACCTGTTAGGTAACATCATGGCCTGGTTTCATGATATGAACCCGCAGAACATCAGTTTGGTTCCCCCAGTTGCTCCTTCGGATTCAGAGTTCAGCGCTCAGGCGCCGGAGCAGCCCGTGGAAAACCCGTTCCAGCAGTGGCCACCAGAGGGCGACCGAGAGGTTCGCAGCATTGAGCCCGTCAGACCTACTCAGCTGGACCTGGTGAGCGTGGATGTACCATCAGCACCTCCTCTGGTGCCCCAAACGAGCGAAGAGCAGGAAACTTCTCACCCTTGCCACTCCGAAACTCCGAAATGTGACTCGGACCCCGAGCAACCCAGCAGTAGCTCCTCCGAGTGGGAGGGTCAGGTGCATCTTGTATGAGATTGAGGGCCTCCTCCTTGTCCACCATGAAGCCAGACCACTTTTTGATGCGAAGTAGCTGAAGAAAAGCCAAGGCAGAAAGAGATTAATTGCGTAACTTGTACAGTCGGACGAATAGAAATGAGCAGAAACCGTATTTTTAAGAATAAACTCGTAAGTATTGAAGCTTGTCTGTCGTCTCGTTGCAGGGTCTGCGTCGTTTTTGCTTCGGACGCGTGATGTTTTCTTCACGGGGCCTGGAGAGCTGAACAGTTTCCAAAAAGAAAGAATGCGGAACGGCCAGTAGGAACGATGGCTGTACGTAGTCTATGGGGGGGGGTAGTTAGGTATGGTAATGCAGTTAGCCTCGGTGCACGACTCCTGTCTGGTTCTCTGTCCCAGAAGAGCCGTACTGTATGGAACAGGAGTGTGTTTAGCCGAGGCTAAGCTAGGCTAGGCTAGGCTAGGCTAGTCTGAATGTCCCGTGTGGCCAGCGAGAGCCGCTTAATCTCGCCTCGGTTGTTACTGTAGGTGCCATAAACACTGGCTAGCACATGCAGAGCTGATGCAAAGCCAGTGGACAGTGTGCTGATTGTGCCTGCTGCTGAGGGCTAAAGCCCCTTTACAAAGACCACCCTCTCCTTCAAACCCAGTGGGTTGTAGTATTAGAGAAATTCAAGGTGTACGCTGGCGTCTCTCAGCCTGATCTCTTACCTGCTGCGTCTGTAGCGTACGGCCGACTCTTAATTCCAACGTACAGAAAAAGTGTTGATTCAGAATGTTTATAATAAAGTATTAGTAAGCATTCTTGAGATTTACCATTCGAAATTAGTATTAAACCAATTTTGTTGCACGTACATAGTCGTGTGCCAGGTTTAATGATGTTCTAAGTGAAAATAATGACACTTTGCACATTTTACTGTTGATTTTCTGAATGTGAAATATTGGGAGGAAAATATATTTTCTATTTTTTATTATATTTTATTTTTTTCCCAACAAATACATAGAAATTGTGCAGTAAAATTTGCAGAAAAATGCCTGTAGAGGATGTCTTAACTTACTTTCACTTAGAAAGTAAACAAAAAAAAATGGAATTATATCAGTGTTCAAACTTTTACAGTTAAAAGAAAATAAAAAAAAGTAAAAGGAATACAGAAATCAGAAGAGCTGAAGTTGAAACCGAATGAAAATTCAAGTAAAAATCCAAATTGATCAAAACAATAATATGAATAAGTTTTAAATACATGCAGAAAGATCAGCTACTAAAATGCTAAATTAAATAAATGTGAAAGATCTCATCTGATGATAATATTTAGCAAAAGTTTCAATCAGTTTGCTGGAACATATAAAGAATTTCCAGGGGCTGTAGATGATTTTATAATATATGAGAAATATGTCAAGAATTGAGAACTGGCAGAGAATTACAAAGGACTAATTTACAGTTAAACAGCTAATTAATATTAAATAATATGCAAACACTGTTGAAACATGATGTTATTGTGGGGCCTTTAAGAGCCATTAGGCTACAGTAGATGAAATTCCCCACTGTCCAGTTTCACAGAGTGTGATTTACAGTCTGAAAAAAGCAGTATTTTCTGTACAGTTAAAGCGTCCCAGTATTTCAGTTAATAAAATATTAAAGTATAATATTACATGCCTTTCCTAAGGCTTCTATAGTTGAATTCCAGAGCTGCTCCACTATAACAATGGAAAACATCTTGGTTTTGAATATGGAAATCAGATGGGCGTGGCTTTGGAAATCACTTATGTAGAACGTGTAGCAGTCTGAAGTTTCTCCAGCAGAGGGTGCTATTGGCTCACAAGTCACCATTAATTCACACCAGAAGCAGCTTGAACGCAAGTGTTTGCAGTAACAGCTATTAAAATGATTAGTAGCTTTCAGAAGAGGTCACTCAATATATTATTCAATATTTTGTTTATTAAAGATTTTCATTAAAACAGATAAACACAAGCTAAAAATAGAACTGACGGCGTGTGTTGGTTGGTTGGAGGCGATATAATTGCTAATCACGAATTTTTAACTAGAAAATATCGTGCTAATTATTTTTATGTATCGCTTGGGCCAAACTGGGAATGACATAATCTTGCTGATCACTGTGCTATTTATAGCAACTGTTTTGAAAGAAATTGATATAAATTAAAAAAACAAAGTTTATTATTTACTAACATTTGCATTTTTACCTCGTCAAAACTTGAGGTTGTTTAAACAATTCACAAAGTCATTTATGGTATCTAGTTTATGGGCGATGTGACAAATATAACGTCGTGATACACCATCGACATTTTCACGACGCTCGATATGTCATTTATTTCTACCGTCTGAAAACAGTGCTACATTTAAAAAATGCTGTGAAAACTTTGAACGTAGTGGTTTATATTGAACATTTCACGCACAGCGCTGCACTAAACCCACCTAAACAGGACGCAGCACTGTTTTTAATGTTGTTCAGTGTTTTAAGTACTGCCGATATCCACTCAGATAAGCATATTGTGGAAATGTATCACGATAATGATGAGTATCGTTGTATTACCAATCCCTAGCAGCTTATAACATGACTATCATCTGCTGATCAGTCGTGTTCGCTACAGATTCTGCAGGTATGGATTAGAAGTATGCCTGAAACTCCAGCAGCTCGCTGATTCTGAGGTGCTGATGATGATGATGATGATGATGATGGTGGTGGTGGTGGTGGTGGTGAAGGAAAGCGTGACGTGGTTCAGTTGCGGTCCTCCTGGTTTGGTCAAAGCCGATCACTGTAACCCGGCGCTGGTGAATCAGACGGAGCGTAACGACTCTGCAGTGAGTGTTATAAACGGTTATAACTCTACGCAAACTCATCACAGTGCCTTTTCTGTGAATTCTCTCGTATTTATTGCCACATCTCTCGAATGACGCTCGCGTACTCGTACGATACGCCGAGCGTCGCTGTCATTTCCAACGGCAGTGAAACTAACGGCCTCCAGACTTACTGTTTTTGATGAAGTGTTTTTTTTAAAATATGTATCCGTATCTCTTCAGCCTCCCTTTAGCTGGTCTCTGGTTCGTCTCCAGAGCCTTTTTTGTAAGCGCTCTCACTCGTGTGGGGTCACTGCTGGTTCTCTCTGCGTCTCTTCTTCTCCGTACTAACTCTTAACAGTAAGCTGAGCGTTTAAGGAGGTGTCGTATGTACAGCGTGTGGCTTCTTTCAGTGTGTAAACGCCAGACCTAATTAATATATTGTGACAATTGATTTTTCTATTTATTTGAAATTGAATGTCTTTCATAAAAAAGAAAAATAATTATGAAATAATGGATAATTGTACAAAAGCCAATGTTTCTGTCCATGATGTGTCAAACAGTCCTTTTACAGTGCCACTTTTAAATACGCGCTTTATACTAATTAATTGTGACTACTGAGGTAATTATAGCCATTTAAACAACACAGTTTTTTTGTTTTTGTTTCTTTTTTCTTTTTTTTGATATTAGCATGTATTTCTATTACAAAAAAAAAACAAAAAAAATAAAACAACTCATGGCCAAATTCTTTAAACTGACACTTCTTTTGAGCCTGAATGGCTAAAGGGGAATTCCATCAAACTTTCCAAAAATCCCCCATGATTCAGTGTGTGGGGTGTAAACAGTGATTCAGAGTGGTTTGGTGTGAAATGGTTCAGATGTCTTTACAGTGGTGCTGATCGGAACCAGGGGTCGCCATGACTACAACACAGATATAGACATTTTATTTACTATCCAGAACCACCAGTGAACCTACACGAGTCTTCTGAGTTTATATGGAATGTTGATGATGGAAAATAGTGGAAAATCTGAAATAATAAGTTTTCTTTGGGGACTATTTTGCCTCACAGCGCCCTGCATGTATCCCTCCACCATGAATGGAGTTTAAGTTCTCCAAACTATCATAAAACAGTGTCTCAGTCATCAGGCAGTGAATTCATAACCATTTCATGTAGGAACTTTCTGTGAGGGAGCTTTTAGAGGTGGACGTCTGGTTCCTATCACCACCACTGTGAACAATTCTGTATCGATCATTTTCTGTGAATGACACTGTTTACATCTTAACCACTTTATTATGCTAGAATTTGTGAATTTTTGGTGGAATTCCCCTTGTTAAACAGAATCAAGTTGAAGGCTATCCCAGAATTGTACACATTTCTATTATCTACTGAAGAAAAGTTGCTGTGACGTCGATCAGAAGCGGAGTGAAACCTTGTCCTGGTAGTGACAGAATAATGGAAACACTACAACACTGTACCTTTAGGAACGACGTGAGCATCGTGGACCACCGGATGCGTCTCAGCTGGGGGTGGAATTCGTGTACAAACTCCATTTGAAGGTTTTTGTTGCTGGTTCTTTTATAGAATCGACTGCAGTGTTTCTTCGGTGATCAGTAATGTCTGTTGCCAAAGTGGAGGCGGAGCTAACGTTACCGTAGTGACTGATGTAGTCCTGTATGTGACAGTACATTGTGCTTTAATCACTTCACGTATAGAAGGCAGACGGAGGCGGATGACGGAACGAAGAAGCAAGCACACTTTGTAACCCATTAAAGATTTTATATTGTTAAGCAACTAATCCTTGAAATGTTATTTGCACTTTCATAGTCTATACTTGATACATTCCCGATTTCTATGGAAACAGAGACAAATGTTTGATGTTTGGCCAATAAGTTTGACTGAACTGAGTCTGAAACTCAATAAAGTTGTTGAGACGCCAGCATTAGTTTGACTTTCTGACATCAGAGAATGATTGCAGATGTAATTTAGCTGAATAGTTGTTTTCATTGAGCCAGAACCTGATCATACGATGCTACAGACTGAGTCCTGATTGGTCTAAAGCGGTGAAATTTGGTGTAATTATACTTCTGATGAACATCTAACAGGAAAAAGTGGTTATGTTGGCTTACGTTTCATTTTCATACTTTTATTCAAAATCAAATATGGATTTTCTACTCTTTCGTTAAGAATTTGTGACTAAAACAATGACTTCTGGGTAAATTAATGACTAACTCACTTTCTAGCCGTATGCTTTGATCAGATTTGAGCTCAGAGCTCAGAGAATGTTCTTAACATAGTTTCTCATTTTTTCACGGTTCCCAGAATTATTTAGGGGTGGGGGGGCAGGAGTCTTGTTACAGGGACTTTAATAGTAAAGAAAGCTTTTATGTGCTCCTATAAAAATGTGAACATGCTTTGCACATTTCTATTTTTCTGAACCCGTATAACTTTCTCATTTATGAACAGTATGTATTTGATTTTGGGTGTTATCCTTAATTTGCATACTTCTATTCACAAAGTATCAGTGACCCAGAAACTGAATTTAATGATAAATGAGATCGTAAACGTTTTGGCTGTATTTGCATTTTTTAATACAGTTTCTTCAAATTTCTGCTCAAAGAACATGTGAACCAAAAGATGTCCGATATTGTTGCAGTGGGAACATAACTAAACGTTTTGTTTTAACCGTTTGAAAACTCCAGCTCTTGACGGTGTGAAGAAATGGTGCAAAATGAGTTCCATCACCACCACTGTGAACAATTCTGACTCGGCAAGTTTCTGTAGAACAGAGTGTTTCACACCAAACCACTCTGAATGACTGTTTACATGGTAACCATTGAATTATACAGAAAATTTTATATTTTGGTGGAATTTCCCATTGTTAAGAAAAGTTGCTTCATTCAGAGCTGAAGTAGTTGTGACAGAATAACGGAAACACTTCAATACTGTAAGGCATATGTATAAAATACTTAAAAAGAGGGTTCTTTAGTACAGGAAATGGTTCTATTTAGAACCATGAGTTCTATATAAGACCATTTCATGCTTATTTGGTTCTTTGCATGGTAAAATGGTTCTTCAGAGTTGATGGAGAATGTGCTGTATATGGTTCTGTCTAGCACCAAAAACGGTTCTATCATTGTTAGAAGGTTGACAGTGTAACAATAGAAGAACGCTTTTTGGTGCTACATAGAACTATATACAGCACGTTCTCCATCAGTCTGAAGAACCATTTCACAATGCAGAGAACCATGTAAACATGCAACGGGTCCTGTGTTTTCTTTAATAAAGAACCCTTAAAGAACCGTCTTTTTCAAGAGTGTATGATCGATCATGTAGCAATAGCAGAACGCTGGTTGGTGCTATATAGAGCCCTTTTCAAAAAGGTTCTATAGAACCTTCTACAGCAAATTCTCCATCAGTCTGAAGAACAATTTCACCATGCAAAGAAACCATTTAGGCATGAAATGTTTCTTTGAGTGTTCATGGTTCTATATAGAACCATTTACTGAAGAACCCTTGAAGAACCATCTTTAAGAGTGTAGAGTTCAGAGCTGTTTTTGGAGATAGAGTGAAGATATAAATGTGAATCAGTTAATAAAGCTCATTAAGTAATTACTGAGTCCTTAACGAACCAGATCAGCAGAGATAAAGCTGAACTGGCAGTGAGAGTGGGCGGGGCCAAAAGTGCTCAGGGCTGAGAGTTGGCAGGAATGAGAGTGGCTGAGAATGGGCAGGGCCAAGAGGGGGTGGGGCTGACAGTGGGCAGGGCCAAGAGGGGGCGTGGCTGCTGTACAGGATGGAGCTCTAAGTTCAGTGTAATGGAATTAAACTGCTGCTCTTATTAAATCTCTCAGTTTTACAGGTTGAGCTCGAGGCCTTCGCTTAAACTCGCCACCATTAAAACCTCATATTTAACCTTCGGCTTAAACGCTTCCACATGCTCATCATCTCCAGACCCACTCCTACCTGAGAGCAGCTCAGTGGACGCTGACTTTGATGCGTTCCAGCCGCTGCGCTGGCCCAGTTTCAGAACTCTAACATCCCTCATTCATCACTGAGCATTAGCATCTCTCAGACTCAGCAAATGTGGCCCTGCTGAAAAAGACCATTACAAATCATTAGGCTTAAAACCTAATGGTTTTGCTTTCTAATGGGAATTGGCTTTATGGTTTCCAATAGCAACCACTAGTTTCCTGTAGAGCACCTTTAGATCCTATCAGGAAACCATCAAATGCATTTACAGTCAGCATACATGGTTTCATAGAATCAGAATACCTGGTTTTGTACTGTGTTTTGGCCTTTTTAATGGCTTGATATCCCAGTGTAAAGGTTTAACAGGTGACCAGTGGCTGATTCTAAATGCATTTGATGCATTTGATGGTTTGCTAAGGGGATCTAAAGGTGTTCTACAGGAAACTAGTGGTCTCTCTCAATTATTAAACCAATTCCTGTTAGAAAGCCTTATAATTTTAATCCTAATGCTATCTAACGGTCCTTTTCCAGCAGGGTAAGTTAGCGTGACAATGAGTGTGTTTACATGCACTTAATAATCCGATAATCGGGAAACTCCATGTCTACATGAATCAGACAGTAATCAGATTTCTGCTTTACAACCAGCCAATAAACTCAGAATCAGACGTGACGTAAACGTAACGTAAAACTCAAACTTCATGCTGCAGCTTTTTTTAAAACATTGCAACACTTTACCTGAAAATATGAACGTACATCATCTGGAAGATGAAGAATATTTAAATCCTTTATTTCCTGTTTGAGCGCCGACGCTGCTCGCTTATTTCGGGTACCGCAGTCTCTCGGGTTTCTTGGTCCTCAGACTGAGAAATCCGAAAGAAATCAGAGTAAGAGTTTACATGCACTGAGGAATCTGATTACTGAGCTAAAATCCAGCCTCTTTATCAGATTTCTTAATCGGATTTCTTGTTCAGAGTGTGCTGTTTACATGACCATTTGAATAATCGGATAACTGCAGAAATCTGATTATGATCGGATTACTGAGTGCGTGTAAACACACTCAATAAAACAAATACTCTGGACAGTCACGGCAGAGGTCAGTATTAGACAGAGAGCATTTGAATGTGTTGAAATGACTAAATAAATGAAATAAATGAAGATTTGTGATCTGATCTTCAGTTATTTCTGATTATTGTTATATTGGGATTTTGCTGTTTATCGTTCCGCGCATGTACAACCTCATCTTATTTTACGTTACGACTGAATGAAAAAAGAAGACATCTTGATTCAAATCTTACTCAAAAATCTTGTGTGGATGTGATAGGATGTCACACATTAATGATGCTGAAAATTGTTTATTTTTATAACAAACAGTAAGAAAAAAGTTGCTCAAAGTGGACGCAAACATGAACTACTGTTTCATCTCACTTTCTAGGTCTTATTTATGGGTCATTCCACAGAAACGTCCACTTTTCTGTCTCTCCATAGGGGTCACTGGTGTTACTGATCCTCATTGGTGTTACACATAATAAAGGAACACCAGAGACATTTTTAATGAACAATGCAGTTTACTAAATGGCTGCTACAGAGCATCAAACCACATGTTGTCAATCATGGAATATATATCACTAAAATATGGAATTTAATGCATTTGTATTCTGTTTTTTCACAATTACCTCAGAATAAAGTCGGTCACACCAGTGACTTCAGCTAAAAGCTTCATATGAAATCATGAGCTGAATGAGAAAATCTCTGATAACTG